GAAGCATGAATGCTTATACCCGGGAACACATTTACTCTGCGTGATGGCATTGATCATGTTCTGCGGCTACGTAACGGCGGAATACCAGATATGTGGTATAAATCCATATTCTACGTATCCTTTAGTAGAATGAGATACAAGAGATTGTAGGAAGCATGTAAGCTTGTGTCTGTACCTTTTCTTCACTTTTACTCACTATAGCTCCTCAAGCTTTTCTCAGACCCTCTTACTCTCGCCTGATAGTTCCGTACATAAATTACACCATCGTTTATTCAGCCGTACCGGCCGCAGTGACTCACCGCCTCTGGCCGACGGCTTAAGTTATAATTTTTTGTAATTCAATTCATTGATCTTAGTAGGAAAGTATTTCTTCACGGTTTTGTCTAATCACATGGTGTCTCCGTGCTAATAAATAGTTGTTGGGAATTTTTTTTGTTAAGGCCGGCGAACATTGATCACCTCACTTAATAGTTTTCGTCATTCTTTTGCACCAGCTGCTGTGCGGAACTATGCCGAGCCTTACACTCCAAGCCACCGGCACCATCCCTTACTAACGAAGACCTTTAAGCAACTATACAAGATCAACATGTTAAGTAACAGACTGACTGAGTTTTTTTTAACTCGCAAAAACTTTTAAGGAGTTTTGGACTAGTGTAAGGAATTGACACATCAATTTGCCATTCCATTATGATAGCGCAAAGACTGTGGCCAATATATCTGACAGGAGGGGCAAAATTCGAATATCAACAGCTTCCGGACCATGACATACTGCCAAGGAAAGAACTGGTAAGGGAATTGGCGAAACAAAAAACACATCACTTCCAGCATTATTCGAGATGAGCTACACAACATGATGCAAGGAAAGACACTGTGGGAGAATTCCAAAAAATGTTATAACGAAACAGAAACCGCTTTTCATTCGGCAATAGAGCATCTCGACAACTATCAAGTAGCTTTGCGAGGATTATGAACGCTTATACCTCAGGTGCACGCTTGCTCTGCATTGGTCAGGTGCAGCGGGCACGCAATAGCGAAGTACCAGATATGTGCATAAGCCCGTAGTACTCAAATCTTTTCTTGCAAAGTTCTGCAAAAACAGCTTCTCATGGCCCTGGACTCAGCATCGAGTTTGGGCTTCAGCTGCTTGTATGACGATGAAGAAGATGATTGTGAGAGCTATGCCGACGCAGACGCTCTCTGCGCTAGATATTCGGCAACATTTCTGGATCCTGCTGGCGGTGAGTCATATTTCTAGCTTTGATGAAATTGTGGGACAGCAGTGGCCATTTGCAGATGCGTGCTAGTAACTTGCTGTTATTTCCTGTTGAGGTTGGTTGTTTGTCGGTTCCAGAAATTGATTTTACAGCCCCGGCGAACGTTATCATCTTACGAACTACAGCACAACAACCCCTTCTTCACGGAAAAGGTTTCAAAAACACATATTTAAGTTTTTGGTAAATATGCTTCGTCCTTTTAATCAAATAACCATAGCCACTGTGAATTCGCGCCATCAGACTGCCTTTCAAGGGAATATATTCGTTGAAACTCGAAAAATTCCTCATATTTGAACGCTCATAACTCCTTATGTAGTCGCTTGGCAGATGAAAAACATGTATTTGAAATCAGCGTCTCAAGACGAGTCCGATGGTATATAGCTTGTTTGGAATGGCTGGGTTAATTTCTGAACATTTCCTCGTTAGTTTATTTATCACTGGCTGGCTTACCCGGCTCCGCCGTATGTTCCGAATAGAAAATTCCATTTCTTAACCGATCCGGACCAAACTTGGCACACATACACTTCGGGCCTCGGCGGCTGTCACAGTCCACTTTTTGTTATCGATCGATGCCGATTTTATCGATTTTTTGCAACGTTTGAGCTACGGGGCTGGGAGTTGGCACAGGGGGGGGGTAATCGAGGTTGCTGATCACCCCCGTGGGGGTGATCAGCATGCTCGATTACACCCCTCTGTCAAATTCCAGCCCCCTAGCTCAAATTTTGCAAAAAATCGTTAAAATCGACATCGATCGATAACTAAAAGTGGACTGTGACACCCGCCGGGGCCCCAAGTGTATGTATGCCAAGTTTGGTCCGGATCGGTTCAAAAATGGAATTTTCTATTCGGAACATATGTACATACAGACATACAGACAGACAGACAAACAGACATTCAGCTTTATATATAAGATGAGAATGATGTTGACTTTTTCCTACAATAACGATACAAAATCAGTAGAAATTGATAATAAACGGTAAACAATAAAAAACTATTGATTACGAATGTGTTGAGTGTTTTGCCGAGCCCAAATTTTTACGGTGAATCTTTTATTGCCTTACGTTTCGACACGTTTCGTCTGAACGGAGGCCCTTGTTTCACCGCGATATCGACGTTAGTAGTCCGCCGGAAGTACTCGACGGTAGGGGCCCAGATTCAGAGAAGAGAGGACTCGGAGTTTACTATTGATTACTTTTCTAATCAAAGATAAACAATCATTGAATGATAAATAACACATTCGCTGTTGAAAAAACTGCTTTTTCTTTCTTCTTCTCTTCTTCTCTTCTTTCACCGTGTAGAATCCTTGTGCAACTTCGTACGGTCGATGTGAATAACTCTTATCTATTTGCCGCCCAAGATCGTAATAATAGGTAAACTGATGCACGATAGGGAATGGTCCCTCAAATTTTGTTACGAGTTTCACCGTCTTCGCGCATTCAAACTTTGTTCCCAATGTGGTATTCCATTTTGGAAGTTCCTGCTCTTGGACCATAATGCTTCTACTGTTCCCCGGCTCTTATAAGATTGATTCAGCGAAAATTTTCCACCAGGTTGTTGAGCGCATATCGGAAAGCGGTATTCGTTTAAGTTGCCTAATTTGGAATGGTCGCTCAATTAAGTATGGGTACCATTGGCACGATTTTAAAAGGAAACGTTTTGCCTTTTTTTCCCGCAAGATAATGTGTGGGACGTTTTGTTTTCGTTGATAGGCCAAACGTAGCACATAATACTGTACTGTAAGATTTTGAAGAAAATGGGGAAATGTGACAATGTGGCTTGATAGTATGATAACTAGTACGCGAATGGCAAAACTTTATGGATTGTTCATGTAGCAGACTACCCTCACAGAACTGCAAAACGAAGTCCGGATGGGGCAGGACATTACACTTTAAAGTTGAAAAGCTTTTGAGACTTTGACGTGTTGGAATCTACATGACGGGGTGACTTCTCTTGACTCCCAGAAGATTAATCCTGGTGAGGCAGTCCTTGAGTGTAAAGGCGAATTTGAGTGTTATCTAAAGCGTGATACGATGGTTTTGCAAGTGGTAGCTTTTTCAAGAGTGTAAACGCTGCAGAGGCAGTTTCTTGTCTCCCACAACGTTATTGCCATAGCACTGTCCTCAATCTTGCTCGTGCTCTTTCAAAACAAGTCCATAATCGTGTATTTTTTTGTTCTTTCTGTTACAGACAGCAAATTTGGGATCGATACACGATGCGCAACATGGTCGTCGTTGTACAAATACGGAGGAAAGCGCCAATATAGGTACGTCAATTTTGAATTGAGCGATCTTGGCTCGCTAAGTGGTGATATGCTTTTCGTCTTCTGAAAGATGTATTCGCAATAGCTATCGCCCCTCCACAGATCGTGCTACCCTTGGTCTGCGTCTCAGACCTGCCACGTGTGGCTAACATGTTGGCAGAACATTTTGGCCACGCCAACATGTTGCTGCATGTTGCCAACGTGTTGCTACCAACGTTGCCAATGTGTTAGTCACACGTGGCACGTCCGCGACGCCACAAGGGTAGTGCGATCTATGGAGGGGACGATATGTTGTGTGCTTCGGCGGCTTCCAGGATACGTGTCCTCTTTCCTGAGACCTATCCACTGCCCACCATGAGTTCGCTTGTAGCCATCTGTGCGTGACCAATGTGTCCGCTAACACCGCCTTTTACGAGATAGCATGCGGCACCAAATTGTTCGAGTAAGACGAGTCACTATAGCATGTCCTTATCAACATTGATGTAACCGCCGGGTTGCGGAGCGGCATACTCGGAGTATGATATCCTCTGCTTCAACCTTATTGCCATCAGTCTGTACAAAATCTGAATGTACCCGCGTCACTTCCGTCATTCTCGATATTTACCGCTGATGAACATAGCTGTTTCGTTTTGGCGTCTGTCGCCTCCGGTGTAGTGGAGAAGGTATCCTCCGCCGATGTCCCTTGCGTTTCTTTCGTACGATGTCAGCCGCTCCTTCTATCGCATAACTTTCACCTGCGGCTCAGTGTTGTTTTATACTGCAGCCGCTGCAGCCACTGCAGCTATATTGGGGCAGGCAATGAATATCAATCGATTGTCGCTGCTGCGCTGCAGTGCGAAACAACCCTTAGGATTGTTTCATATTGCAGTCGCTGCAGCACTGACCGTCGATCGATCGATATCTTTTGCCCGCCCCCATTTGACTGCAGTTGCTGCAGCGACTGCAATATGAAACTATCCCTTACTATTCGCACCATGCATGCAATGGCGCGTGTCGTCTCCGAGGTACGCCCTGGCAGCTTTAAAAAAACTTTGATAGTCCGATATATGTGACACGACCAATTCGCACAGCCGACGCGTCGCTCAGCTTGACGGGCCAGTGCCTCGTCGTTCGGGTTGGTAATACCCATATCCTGTAGGCACCGAGGGGAGGTGATGTTGGGATTTTGCCGTCCAACCCACTATTTGCTCTAAACTTCACTTTGTTGATTCCTGGTTTTTCCTGGTCATGTTCCAATCGGAGCAATCACATTTTGGGGCGGGCCATTGACTACAATGCAGTGGAAATTGGCGAACATCCGGGATCTGATGGAAATGTCTCAGAAGACTCAAGTGATAAGCTGTTTAGCGTCATCGGTCGCAGTATTCATCAATCTCCCTTTCTCTGATCGTTGATTCTAGGGAACGAGCGATCCAACAATGGGGGCTCGTTTCTTCTTCTTTTTTTCAATGTAAAACAGCGTCCATTTAGAGAAATTGATACATATTCTCTTCGGCGACTGGCGCGTTGCTTCTCATCTCCACCCAACCATCGCCAATTTTCTGCTTCTGAAACTGTTTCAGTTTGCAATTGGCAAAGTGAATTAGGTACCACCAACACTGGATGCTACTGATCCCGTAATTTTACACGTCGCTTTTGAGGAACAATCTAAATCAAAATCTGCTCCAGACACTACAACTTAAGAAGAAGCGCGTGAACTTCAAAATTGTTAGGTTTGTCAGCAACAAGATTTGGCTAGTGCAAACGAAACTAGGCTAAGTAGGCAACAGCGAAGTTATTCCTGCATATTGTTGACTTATACGATGCTCGCACTTTCAATGTTTGACTATTGCTTTTGTTAGGAATAAGTGAAGGTACCGCCTGACTAGATTTTCTCCAAAATGTTCAATCCGCAGTCTACGATATGGGCGTGGCAGGTATAGTTGGAACCGAATATTCGTATTCGAATAATTTATTCAAAATATTCGACTATTCGAGTATTCGATTAGTCGAATATTTGAGAAATTCCGATTATTCGATTATTCTAATAGTCGAATATTCGATCAAGTTCAGTTATTCGAATATTCGTTCATTAGAATTTTGGAATTTTCCCATATTCGAATATTCGATTCGAATAATATAAAAATCGGATAATATTCGTTAAATCGAAAAATTTTCGAAAATCAATCATTCGATATTCATTCGTTCGACAAATTTTAAAAAATCAGTTATTCGATATTCGTTCATTCGATGAAAATTTCCGTTCGTTACAACTACAGTGGCAGTCCTGTCGGGTCCACATCAGCTGTCCCTCCTCTTGGAGCGGGTTGTAAAGCCCGCTGGAGGACAGTGACCCCCGACGACCGCTACCAGCAGGTTGCCCTTGCGGCTTCTTCCCCTTTCCCCCACTTCCCCTCTATATATTCTAAATAATAAATATTAGTAAATAAGACTCTTGTACTTACCGCTACACATCAGGTAAAGGACCTGCAGACCTTTAACCTGACATGGAGGACCCGGGAAAATTTGAATTTATCCCCCCCCCCCCCCGAGATCCGAGAACCGAGATTTCGATTTTTTTTCCCTCTTTCTTTCTGAAACCGGAAATTTTTGAAGAAACATCCATAATTTTTTTCTCCCTTTCCTTTTGCAACCGCAAAATTTTTGAAACCGTAATTTTTTTTTAAACTCTCTTACTTCGTCATTATAAATATAATCCCTGCTATTTTTTTCCCGAGAACCGAGATCGAGATCCGAGAACCGAGAACCGAGATCCGAGATCCGAGATTTTCGAAAAGTTTATATTTTTCTTTTCTTCTAATTTTTTTTAGGTCTAAGTAATAATGAAAAAATGGTAATTACGTTTCAGACAATGGACTTGTTCGCTCAGCTAGCTCAAAATTAAACCTAAGGTATACCCAGTGGCGTACCCAGGATTTCGGCTCGGGGGGGGGGGGCGCGACAAAAATTTTTTTCTAAATAAGGTGCGTGGCGTCAGCCACGCACTCCGAAAATTTTTTGGGGTGCTTCTCAAAACTTTTGCGGGTCCCGGCCCCTAAAATCTAGAAAAAGGGGGCGTGGCGTCAGCCACGCCCCCGAAAAAATTTTTTTTACAAAGCTAATTTGAATTTTTAAAAATTTTTAAAAATTATTTTAATTATTTACAAAAATAAACAAGTCACTTGCACATTTTTATAACCCACATAGGTAACTTTCAAAAATTTCGCGACCCATTCTCGGGGGGGGCGCGCGCCCCCCCCGCCCCCCCCCCTCGGTACGCCACTGGGTATACCTAAGCCCTACATAAATATTTTATTGCTATTACACCTAGCTTGGAATGCTAACCTCCGGAAAAGTTTAAACCGCGCAACTGTCCACACGCGCTTATCCCCCAGGAAATTTACGAGCGCAACTGCTATCAACATTAAATAAAGCAATTAATTTGACGGCGCGCATCAACAAGAATAATTTATGACCCCCAATATTTTCCGATGGCTGCGACCCCGCCAACTGTGGCTCACACTTTATTTTACAACCCTAATTCCTGTTACAATGAATAAACAATCACAATAAGTAGTTTATTCAAACAAAAAAAAAACAGAACAATCAACAATAGATTAAATATACATTTTTTTAGTAATGCCGCTCGGTATAATCGTACTTCTTTCCGCGCGCTTCACACGACTCTTTAAGAGAGTCGCAGTGAACATTTTCTAACCTCACTTCCGATATTCCGGCCAAATTCCTCAGCAGGAATTTGGCGAAGTGGTCTGGGAGCGGCGCTGTCCTTCCATAGTTGATCAACCGCAATTGGCCCATGTGCAGCCGCACCCAGGGGTGGTCCGCGCGCCACGATTTGTCCAAGCGGAAGAGGTTGAACCTCTTCTTCTTGCCCGACCGCATAGGGGCTGAAAAAAAAATTTTTTTGGCTTTAAGACATTTTTTTTGAGTTTAATCCGAAAAAAAAAGAGAAAATAATAATAAAAAAAAATAAAAGAGGAGAAACTCACCGAAGAAGAATTCGTCCCTATCCGTGGTCACGCGGACCATGCCTTCGCCGTGATTGATTGATTGATTATTTCAATGCACGTCTCCACCACGTTTCCCCTCCTGAGGAAGTGGTGGAGGAGCTCTTCCTCTTCCTCTGGGTGCAGCGAACGGACCTTGGCCCTGTGCGCCTCGAGGGCTCTGGGTAGCACCTCATGAACTGTTTGCAGATCCCGCACCATTCGAGTCAGGTCCTGAATATAAGTAATTAAAACAAAAATTTTTTTCTTTCCTTCCTCATAAGTTAAATTATTTTTTTCCCTTCTCTCCGCAAATTAGATTGAAAAAAACCGCTAAACTAGATCAAACTTAATTTTGTAAATGAACATACCTTTTCTTGCTCTTTGCGCAGGGACTCCGACTTCCTATATTGGCTGTCGCGCAGCCCCCTGCTCCATTGCAGAGCCTCGATTTGTCTCCGGGCTACCTGCAATTCTTCCTCCAGCTCCTCGATCCTTTCCAGGAATTCGGTGAGATGCAGTTCAGCCCGGGTGGCAGCGTTGAACACCGTTGTGTGGTCAACAGAGGCCCTTCCGGAGGCTGGAGGACTGAAGTCCTCCACATGCTCTCCGAAACTCTGCGGCTGAAAAAAAAACACACACAATAAAATAGGAATAAAGATAATCAAATAAAATGATGTCTATTTTTTTCCCTTTTTTTTCTTCTTTTCTCGCGATAAAATAAGACGAAAAAAATGGATAAGATATTTTTATTTCTTTTCTCTCTCATTTTTTTCCTCAAAAACACACAGTAAAAGAAAATAAAACAAGATGATAGAGTGAAATATTCTTTTTTCCGATAAAATTAGATAATTCTGATTTTCTCTCTTTCTCTTTTGATAAATTGGAAAAAAAAAACTCACGGAGACTGGGCTGACGCTGCGCACCAAATTCCCCCACGACGGTGATGATCCGTTCATCATCGCGTTATAAACGGCTTCTCTAGCCTCCCCACGAGCTGCGAGCTCTACCTCCCAAGCAGCTTGACGCGCGGCATCGTTTTGTCCATTGGCGAACATTTTTTCTTCCTTTCTTGCGTGTTAGAGAATAAAATCTGAAAAAGGAAATATAATTAAACAACTAAAATCACAAACCTGAGAAGAGCACTTTTTGGAGCTGTTGACTATAAGAAGAGCAGAAGTAAGAATGATGACCTAACTTATACAATAATATTTGGGCGTATGAGGGTTGTAAATTTACATGTCACAGGGCTGTAAACTTTACCTTACCAGAGCGTCCTCCAGAAGCAGACTTCGCCATTGGGGCAAAAAACGGCAGCAGCGGCCCATTTACTGCAACTACAGCAACAACTAGCTATAACTATTCATATTCATATTTATAATTAAATACCATTGTATTTATAGAATATATATATTGATATATATTTTTAAATACATGAGGTCAGCGATTTTACACTTTCTTACGGTAGTGGCTAGCCCCGCCCACCCAGTGTAATTTTTCTGTTGACCCGCCCCCTTCGCGCTAAGCCCGAGCCATTCCGCCCTTGGTGTCCACCCAGTTCGGTCGCCAGCTCTATCTCTCTCTTCCAAGCGCTCAGCTCAGCCATATCTACCGTAGTCAGCAACCAATCAAGCCGATCGATCTACCGTAACTAGGACGAACGACGAATAGGATTGAGGTGCGATTCTATTGCTAGATTCTTCATTTTCTTACCTTTTTCTTACATTTTCTTCCTCTCGTTCCATTCTCAGGGCTAGATAGACTTCTGATATTAAAGTTAAACTTCAGTAGAATCTAAAAGTTTTGAAAAAAAATTTTTGTTTTCCTGTCCCAAATTTTTTTTCTTTTCCTTTCTCAACTCAAAATTTTCTGCGCTTCTTTTGAAAAAAAAAATCCAACGAACAAATTTTTTTCGGTGTATGATAGATTAACATGAGCAGTGGTTCTAGTAAATCTTCTGAGCCTTGTGATACAACTTCGCGTGGTTCAATTAAAAGAAGACAAAGATCGCACTCGCGTATCCCACATAAATTACAACTTGTTCAAGACGAACCTAGCCGCCCAACTAGTCCAATCCAGCGTGCAAGCAGTGCACCCCCTCCCGATAGTTCTTCTATAGAATCTTCTAGCTCTTCTCCTCTTCTGAGTTCATCTAGTCCCGATAAATCACTCGTAAACACTCTAAACCCAACTAAATCGCGCTCTAATTCATCTCAGCTGATAAAATCAGATTCAAAGTCGCCTCAGCTAGTCGATCCTCAACCAAGTTCATCTAGTCAAGTATTATCTAAGCCAAACTCACCTCAGCCTCTACTTTCTAAAACTCCAGAGCCCCCACTTGAGGATAAGAATTTACTTCAAGAAAAACAATCTTCAGTTTCTACCGGAAACTTAGCTACAGTAACCCAAGAACAAAACTTAGCTACAGTAATCCAAGAACAGCCACCAATTTTCGTACCACACCCAACTACCGTAACCCAGCCGCAACTTTTTGAGTCACAGCCAACTACAGTAACCCAGGAACAGACACCAACTTTTGTACCACATCCCATTACAGTACCTCACAACCAATCACAAACTTTTGTACCGTATCCACCTCAAGAACAAGTACCAACTTTTGTCCCACACCCAACTACAGTAGTCCAAGAGCAACCAAGACCTTTTATACCAACTCCAAGTACAGTACACCTAGACCAATCACATTCAAGTACCGTAATCCAAGAAAAACAGCCAATTTTCGTACCTTACTCAACAGCAGTTGTGCAATCACAGCAAATTCCGCATTTTACACCGCTAAATTTTTCTCGGCCAGTAATCACACCTTTTCCAAATCAGTTATTAAATTGTCTCAGAAAACATGGAAGTTCCAAATGAGCATATGCAACAAAATCATATTCAACCAATTCCTGGCAACAGCAAGCAGCTGCAGTCCGGCAATACGAAGCTTCTTTCTTAAGAAGCACTCGAAGCGTTTTGGATAGCCGCCCAAAATCCAAAAATCAACCGGAAGGACGAGTGCCTAGCCATTACTAACGAGCTGTCTCCTTATCAGAGCCTCTGTGGCTTTTGAATAATGAGGTCAGGTCAGAACCGGGTCACTAGTTAACTATAAAAGTAAGGCGGTACAGCTTTTGGCATAAGTGGTCTGCACCCACCAACTTTTCATCTGTTAAGGTGAGCACTGGCTTAATCTTGGTTTTGGTTAAGGCTGTTGTTTTTCTTAGAGGGTTGGGCTCCTTTCTGTAGTCGACGAGGTGTTTGATCGGATAGTTTACTCATGTGTCTTCGACTTTTCAGACTCTGAAGAAAGCGAGTTCGCCGAAACGTTAGTCTGTTATTCTGTGCGATAAAGTTCTGTACCAATCTTGGACTTCGCTCAAGCAACTAACAAGAAGATTGCAACTATGCCAAGATTTATGGACAGTCGAACATGGATGCTTATGAACGATGTACCAGCAACTTCCTTTCGACTCGTAAAAGAAACTCTCTCTTTGAGACAAAAGATTGTCTCGAAGAGGCAGACCATCCACTTCCTACGCCGCTGCTTAGAAGAACATGTGATGCCGAAGTTTATCTCAAGGAAACGAATACACGAAGTATGCGGTCTACCCAAAGAAAGTCAACAAGTGAAGAAAATCGAGCAACAACTTCTTCGTATGGCACTGCGATCCAAGCAAGATCATATGTATAAGATGTTGTCTAAGTGTTTGTACAAGGAGCAATGTTGTGTACGATATATGCCTGATCGCCTTTGGAAGAGGATCGTGGGTGAGTCGAAGCACATCTGTAATCATATCCGATCTAATACTAAGTCTAGATTGCAGAAAAAGTTCAAAACTTTAGTTGAACAGGGGCAAGACCATTCACAAGAGCCGGCTAGTGCAAACAATTGTGGTTACGAAAGTCAAAACTGTGCTGCTTCCTCTCTCACTAATGCTCCTAGTCGATTCCGGGTGTCAGTAATTGGCAATGCACTCATTTCCGATGATGCGCTATCATTACTGGATCTTGGTCCTAGTTTCGCACCTAATCAATCAATTGGATCTCGGGTATCGCGTAGGATTGTTGGCAGCCTGCAATATGTTCACGAAAAGATACGTCAGCGAGCCAACGAGCGAGAGAGCGCAAGAGACGGCGAAACAGCTGCGGGGAAAACATGGCCAGTTATTCCTTTCCCGCGTTTGGTATACAAACCACAAGAGCCTAATCAACCAGCGGACGCCAAGTTTCGAGTGTTTGCTACGGGGTTGTTCTCAATTCTCAGTCGTTTTCGCCAAAAACGCCAAAATAGTAATTTAACATTTTTGCAACGCCGCGGCCTGCGCGAAATTCGCGACCTTTGCGCTGCAGGGGAGATCAAGGTGTCTGTCAGCGACAAAGGAGGGGAGTTTGTGATCCTTTCTCGAGATCTGGACATGGCGATCACCAAACACCATCTGCAGGATATTACCGTATACGAGCCTGTGACAGCAAACGATTTCAGGAAGCAATACCGCCGCTTAAACAGGGTATGGTTAGACGTAGCTAAGGCTGAAGGCATTCCTAGGGCTCTCGCTTCACGTTTGAAGACCGATCTGCCTATGTGTCCGGTCCTGTACACTCTAATCAAGACACATAAAGTGCCTATTGATAGTTTAACGTCTAATAATCCGCAAGACTTTAAGGTGAGGCCTATCATCAGCGGTGTCGGAGGTCCTACGGATAGGATTTCGTGGTTTCTCAATACTATTCTTTCTCAACTGCTCAGATTTGTCCCCGCACATCTCTCAAACACCAAAATGTTTCTTGATCGTCTGCGCAGCACCAATGTAAGGCAAGGGTGCGTTCTGGAGTCTTTCGATGTGGAATCGCTCTATACCAACGTCTCCAACGACGCCGCAATGCAAGCAACCTTTGAACTTCTTGTAGAACACCAGTCGTCACTCAATCTTCATGGTCTTAGCATCAGAGGCATTTTGTCTTTGGTCAAAGAGTGTCTCAACTGCTCCATATTTCGTTGGTGTGGAGACTATTACAGGCAGATAAGAGGATTGGCTATGGGACAGAGGCTAGCGCCGACCTTGGCAATTGTTTTCATGTCGAAGGTGGAAGCCCCGGTACTGGCGAGCAAGCCTCTGCTGTACTGTCGGTACGTGGACGACTGCTGTATCGTGTGTCCTACCCAGGCCGAGCTTGATACTTGCTTCAACATCATGAATTCCAGGACGCTAACATCAAGATGACGAGGGAAAAACCCAAAGATGGATGGCTGCCGTTCCTCAACGTACAGTTATGTTCATCGGGCAGAGGGTTCAAGACAAGATGGTACCGAAAGCCGAGCAGCAAAAACATCTTAGTACACCATTCTTCAGCACATCCCGCTCGAATAAAGGCATCCGTCATAGGAAATATGTTTAGAACGGCTGCGGGGGTCTCTTCTGATAGGGACGAGAAAATGCGTTCGCTAGAGCTTGCAGAATCAGTAGCAAGGTCTAATGGGTACAACACAAAAGCTTATCACCCTTACAGATTCCGAGTCCATCGTACACCGCCTAGATTAGAAGCTGAAGATCAGATTCCATTTTGTCTACCATATATTTCGGAAGAGTTTAGTAGGGCTGTTCGCAGATTACTTCATCAAGCAGGCCTCAACGATATTGTAAGGATCGTCGACATTCCGCCTGCAAACCTTAAACAGCAGCTAGTACGAAACCGGGAGTACGATCGTCTCTGTACAACGTCTAATTGTGTGATTTGTCCATTCGGCAAGGAAGGAGACTGTATGATATCAGGTGTTGTCTACCTTATCACGTGTACATCATGTGGAGACACGTATATTGGCGAGACGGGTCGCCCCCTATGCACGCGCATCAAAGAACACTTAGATGGACTCAGCAAGGGCAACGCAGCTACTCCGTTAGGCATGCATCGCAGGCTCAGCCATGACGACGCGGAGGTGGGAGTGCAGGTTCGAATCCTGGCACGTGGACCCGAGATCCTAGCGCGCAAGACACTCGAAGCGTTTTGGATAGCCGCCCAAAATCCAAAAATCAACCGGAAGGACGAGTGCCTAGCCATTACTAACGAGCTGTCTCCTTATCAGAGCCTCTGTGGCTTTTGAATAATGAGGTCAGGTCAGAACCGGGTCACTAGTTAACTATAAAAGTAAGGCGGTACAGCTTTTGGCATAAGTGGTCTGCACCCACCAACTTTTCATCTGTTAAGGTGAGCACTGGCTTAATCTTGGTTTTGGTTAAGGCTGTTGTTTTTCTTAGAGGGTTGGGCTCCTTTCTGTAGTCGACGAGGTGTTTGATCGGATAGTTTACTCATGTGTCTTCGACTTTTCAGACTCTGAAGAAAGCGAGTTCGCCGAAACGTTAGTCTGTTATTCTGTGCGATAAAGTTCTGTACCAATCTTGGACTTCGCTCAAGCAACTAACAAGAAGAAGCTTCTTTTATTGATCATTTAGATTCTGTTTTCGATAAGTTAACGCTTTCTACTTACTGTAACAAACTGCCAGTCTTTTCGGGAGACCTAGGAGATAAAGGATTCATGCATTTTCTTACACAATTTTGCGAAATTTCTTCAATAATGGGTTTAAGTGATCAAAAGAAGGTACGCCTTCTTCCAGCTCATTTGACAGGTGTTGCAAAAGCTGTGTATGATAACATACCATCTGAAGAAAAATTAGTATGGAATACTGTCACTCAAAAATTAAAATCTCATTTTGCAACGGAACAATTTTTGGATAATGCACGTGACAGAATGATGGATATGAAAATGAATCCAGGAGAATCTCCCACTCTCTTTTCGAATAGACTTAGGCAACAGATTTTGGAAGCTTATCCAGATGATAGTGATGCAGCCACACGTGACTGGTTACTAAATACAATTTTTATGAAAGGCTTGCATAATCAAATTAAGCAAAAGCTTAAGCTATTAGGTCCACTTCTAAAATACATACAGAAATGAGGATATGGATCCGGTGGACTGCGAGCAGACACGACCTTCACCTATTGCTCGCTAAATTTTTTATATCCATTTGATATTTTGCAATAAGTAGTTATTCATTCTCTAAGGTCAGTTTGTTTCCCCTATTTTTTGCTGCACCGTCGCGTATTTACGTCTCTTAAAATTTTCTTTGAACAGGCAATTCAAAGAAATCTTTCGCACTAGGCAGCTTAACATCAAAAATCCTTTTTGTAACAAACAAATTTTGCCCTTATGTTGAATGAAAACAAAGTGTGCAGTGCCCAATTCAACATACAAACTCGTTACGCCTCTGTTTTACATGCAATTATCCACAGAAAATGTTCCTGTGAACTAAATTTTGTAATTTTTTTGTAAAATTACTATTGAATTATGTTTTATAATTGCCTAAAAATTATTGTTAAAATTTTTTCTTGCGTATATGTATCATGCATTTATTACCATTATTACCACCGTAAAATAATTTGCTGTTAACCAATTTTTTTTCTCATACCTTCTACTTCGTATGTTCAGTAATTTCATACTACAATTTTCTACATGCTGTAAACTCCGCCCCAAATGTTAAATCATTTGCCATCCGATCAACTCCATTTTTACCAAGCTTTAAAATCAATCGGTCCATCTCCATTTCCTACAATTCCACTCCAACTCCTTCCCAGCATCACGCCGGGAACCCCATTCACATCAACTGCATCTCTCCGCAGTTCCTCCCCCTCTCCTCAGCTACCTTCAAGCTCGAGGACGATCTTACTCAACGCCAAAGGATATTCTAGGTGAAGGTCGTGTCTGCTCGCAGTCCACCGGATCCATATCCTCATTTCTGTATGTATTTTAACATATCATCACGCCAACTGTACGTTCTCGCCGTAAATCACGTGTAAATTCCAACACACGTTACCCGGAAGAACTTCTGCCATATTTCGATATATCACACTTCAATTGTATGTTCTCGCCGTAAATTACGTGCAAACTTCAACGCACGTCACTCGGAAGAACATCCACCACATCAACGCCAACCACCACAACGTCTCGAAACCTCAGCCATGCCACAAGCTCGAGGACGAGCTTCTCAAAGGAATGGAGATGTCGGGTCCACATCAGCTGTCCCTCCTCTTGGAGCGGGTTGTAAAGCCCGCTGGAGGACAGTGACCCCCGACGACCGCTACCAGCAGGTTGCCCTTGCGGCTTCTTCCCCTTTCCCCCACTTCCCCTCTATATATTCTAAATAATAAATATTAGTAAATAAGACTCTTGTACTTACCGCTACACATCAGGTAAAGGACCTGCAGACCTTTAACCTGACAGTCCTCCCCTTGTGACCTCTGGTAAATTTACTATCCTTCCCAGCGTTTCACAAAAACCAGCGGATACTTATAACAGTAAAGAAGTGAATATATTTTATCATCTTCTCCCCCTATTAACAGACAAAACCAACCAACAATATTATCGCAAGAAAAAAAATCAAGACTCCGTGACGTCTTCGGGATGATAGTAGTCGCCAATAAGCCTGAATTTATATTGAGAATCAATAAAGAACCCAGATAATGTGCAACCAACCTGTAAACATGAGACGGTAATATGCATGCAGAATTTGATATGTAGAGTGTAACAAGAGAAGCCGGAATATGGTCGAAAGTTGGCCGAGGCACTTCAACGAGACCAGAAAAACAGAGTGCATGGGAGAATCCAACGCCTGGCGCTTTATTCGGATTTACCATCATAGGGTCGGGGACAAAGAATGGGGTAATCTAAAAGAAACCTTTACTGGATGAAAGAGTTTAGGAAAGAAGGAAAACCTACTTTATAGAAGGCTGCAAGGATATACACAGGAACTGAGTGTCGCTGAGCTGACAGGCAAATTGATAACCCTCCAGCGGGCACAAGGCACGATCCATCAGGGAAGACAGCAGCACCAGGCAATAATACCTAGAAAAATTATTTGTTTTTACAGATGCGACAAGAGTGAAAGAGAAATATACCTTAGTAGCCTCGCACATCTTGCTTCCGACATCACATAATTGTATGGGAGTAGCGAATTCTGGAGTAGAGTCAAACTCACTGCTTTGTACGACACTCAAGACCTAAACAACAGTTGAGGTCTAATATCGAAAGCTCACATTGAGTGTCGATAAAGCACGAGCAATTTGGAGGATGCGAACGAAAAACGTACTCAGGGCAAAGCATTTCTCCCAAAGTTGCGCTACCATAAAATCGCAAAGGTTCAAGATGTTGTGCAATCGTGATACAACTTATGCAAGCCATTATTACTACACTACTTCTTCTTAATAAGTCGTCTAGACTGGGCTTGGGACAACATGGTGATTTGCTTTTTGTTGCTGTTGTGTTCCATGTATGACTACACTTCATTGTTTTTGATTTGGAACGCCTCGAGCATATGAATGAAATAAAACGAAATGAAATGTTGGGCGCCATCACAAGATTTTTGAGGTCAAAGATTTCCATCCATACATTTATGGCGAAAAAAAAGCAGGTGGGTAAACGACATTGAAGAAGACATTCAATCATAAATCAGAAGAGAAATAAATGAGCTGAGTATTACATTTTTGGGCTGACAAGGAAACGATACTCAATGTCCGTGGCCTTTTGAGACGAGATGTACACCATTACACTCGCCTTCGAACGCTGATTCCGAATCTGACTTCCGTTTCTGCTAATCGTTTCTCTGAAGGAAGTTATGGAGGAATTTCGAACCAACTTTATCCGCCCAACGGTAAGGTCACCAGAACGGCCTCTACCGGCGCCATGTTATTGTCTAATGGTTAGTGTGATAGCCTCATAACTTGATACAGGTGTAGGTTCAAATCCTTTGTGTTTTTATTTTGCACTACCTCAGTTGAAGTTGTTTGAGATTCACTCGAATTATGGTCATTGGATACATTTTAACGCAAATAGTCAATTTTTTCCGAATTTCCACATTTTTTGAAGAGTAAGGGCGTTCAGTTAGCTCCGAAGATGCGAAAGAAGGTTTATTGAGGCAACGCAAAACTGAAAAACACAAAAGGATTCGAACCTACGTCTGCATCAACTCATGGGCCTATCGCGCTAACCACTAGATCACACCGCACCGTCACTGCTGCTGCTTTGAACATATTTCAGTGGACAGCCAAAGCCCACACAATCCTTTACAACATCTTTGAAGCGATTAGCAGAAACGGAAGCCAGATTCGGAATCAGCGTTCCAAGACGAGTGTAATGGTATACAACTCATCTCAAAAAGCCGCGGACACCGAGTATCGTTTCCTTGTGAGATAGATCAGTAGAACTAATTCCTAAGCAGGAGACAAAGTCTTGAAGCAGGAACCTTACAATTATACCGACCAGAAAGTCAAGCGACTAAATGAACTCAAAAACCTATGAAATGCTATAAACCCACTCTATGTTTTCTTGTAAGCCTTGCAGATGCAAGAAACGCTGATAAAGTCGGAGACTCGCTAAGATGATGAACTATCAGAACATCTTGTGGATTTACGAGATCAGCAGCTCGAGCTGCGATATTCTCACATGACAAGGACATTTCGGATGATACCTGCAGATGAAAACAAGATAAACATCTCAGATGAACTCCGCTAAAATCACCTCATTTATTGCTTGGATCAATCCTTTCTTCATCTTCTTTCCGCTAGCAGCATTGATGTTATCCTCATTTTTTGACCATAGCTTATTCAGTGAGTCAAATGCAGATATAGCTTCACCTGAAAATTTTGTGCTCCATGATATAGGCGATTCACAGCACGCAAAGACTGCGGACATATCTGCGTCTCCGTGATCGAGCGCTCTTTCGTTTTTCTTACCGTCTGCTGTCTCTCCTAAGCACAAACTACCTCCGTCGGACGCAACGGCGCCCAGTCTTTGCGTGTCATGAATCGACGATACAAATTTGAGAGAAAGACATGATTTGCTAGAATAGAAGCTAACAGTTAAAACGTTCCCACCTGAATCTCGTGAGCTTTCCTCTCGTGCTAACTTCGCGACCATCATCAGAACATTACGTATGACTAGTTCAGTAGGAACCATAGCACAAATCCACCGGCCATGGCTATTCAAAGCAGTGAGCAGGTCACTGAAAAAGAGCTAACTGTTTCATAGATCAAATCAATGCAGAAGCTCAGAATTTGCGCTTTCTGCACTGTGTTTTCGTCTCTGAATGCCAATATATTCAGAAACTCCTCGAAAACCAAACCAAAAAAGCAAGAATAAAATGGACACACGTGATCGTCTCATACTTCTCATACAGTATGACTTTGCGCAAAAATTGCAATGTTTCCAAGGCTATATCCAATGAGCAAGGACGAGTCGGACTAAAATTTTAAACTGAAAAACATTTGAACTCTTGCATATGCGGGATAAATTTACAAATTCATAATACATACAAGGTAGATAACAACTCACTTTCTCCGCAAACCTGCCACAACTGCTTTTCGCAGTTCCGTCAAATCTTTAGTAGACTCCATTATTGCTATTTTTCAAATTTCATGGATCTGATGTTCCTGTCTACCTGAATCAATAATGGTATTGTGTGACTAGAGTATCACTTGGTACATGCGCGATAAGCATAGCTGACAAGACGAATTTTTGCGCACGAACTTAGTGACTTTACCAAGCACAAGCATAAATTAGAAAACACATATCATCTATTATCAGAAACAGCTTAAACTAATCCACAAAGTAAACATAACACTTCGTCTGAATGGAACAACAACCCACCATTGCATCAGAAGAGCAGCATGACCTAATAGGCACATCTGCCCCATTACAAACGGAAATGGCCGTGGGTCAGCTTTTCTGCAAAAAACCCCATCCACTCAGAAAAGCTCGTTTGCTGTCCTCTTCACACAAGAATCAACAATGTTTACTCTTGGTTCGCTTGGCAACCTATGCACGTCGTCTAGATCTCTTCTCATCTCCCTCATCCTGAGATTGTAATTTTTAGTCCCGAAAACTCATTTTTCTAACTCTATGTTACCATCAAATCTGTCTTTTGATCTTAAACCTTTTTAAGAGTGTTCCTTGAGCATTTTCTATACTGCGACATAATAATCGTCTGAATATAAAAAAACGATGATCCGATTAGGGACTCCCGCAGTGCACACTATGTTGCGTAGTGTGCTCAGGGTTCAGGACAAAAGCCAAGAAAGATATTCATCTTCGTTTCTAGGGGGCAAAAACGAAAGATGTACCTATACATGTAGTACATGCTGTACATCAATGACATAAACAATGATACACACTCTTTCCAAAGCGCGCGGAATCCATTTTCAATGCTAAAATGAACAAATGGCTTGTTCACAGTTCAAAGGCAATCTATGACACGGCACTGGGACCATATGTATCGTGCATTCCCAGAATTGCTCCCATAACAATCAGCGTGGCTGCCTTTCGATCGTTTCAACACGCCAACTACGAATAAGCGCCCTAAATTTGCTGGAGTTGAGGTGTCAAAACGATTTATGGCAGCCACGTTGATGGTATCCATGGGAACAATTCTGAGCACGATGTACAGTACCATTACACATCATAGTGTAACAACTTTGGGGCTTTTATGGCGCAACTCTTGACTAGTCCTCTAGTGAGACATCCCACGATGGCTTGATCTTTATGAAGCCTATATTTCTGCGAGTTCACATATTTATGGAAATTCTGTTTTTCATATATGCTCAAAAAATATAATCCTGATTGAATACCAATGCAAAGCACTTCCTCTCCTGTTTGTATGAACTCCAAATCCAGCTTCGATAGATATTGCGCTTCCACTTTCATTTGTCGTTCTGTTGCAAATTTCTTATTCAGTAAGACTATCATTCATTCTATGATCACAAGGTCGGGCTACATCACGAATTGCATCGTCGCAATTTCTAGTTGTCGCTTTTCCGGAAGTAGCGACGAAATCGCGGCGGCTGAGTCGCTAATCGTTCTACTTGGGTATACTATCAACTGCTAGCATTCCAGCACTGTGTTCCGCGTTCCCGGATCTCGCACAAACTCAGCCTATTGGGCTCAAAGGCAGTGTCCGGGCAAAAACTCGATTTTGAGATTTTGTGCTTATACGGGCCTATTCGCCTGCTGAATCCGAAAATCCACATTGGAAAGCGCGAAAACGGCGAGAAAGTGCTCTAATATAGGAGGAAAATCAGCAAGTGGGCGGGGCTTTCCCCAATGCGATTTCACGCTCTTTGCTCCCGGAGCGATTTTCTCGATTCCGCTAGCCGTTCTAACATCGCTACCGGCCAAGTGCGAATGATTGACTTGAAACCGGAAGCGAGAAGGTCGCTCCGGAAGCCGGGAACGTGAATTCGCAATGGGGAAAGCCCGCCCACCTGCTCATTTCCCTCCTGTGTTAGAGCCGTTTTTCGCCATTTTCGCGGTCTACAATGTGCATTTTCGGATTCAGCGTAGCGAATAGGCCCAAGTAAGCACAAAATCTCAAAATCGAGTTTTTGCCCGGACACTACCTTTAAATGCAGCGTCCGGGCAAATCTGCGCTTATGTGAGTCTCACTTGGAGGGTAATCTTGGAACCCTAACTAAAACACTGTCCAAGCGGCAGCTCAAATGTTGAGTTCACAGTTAAGATATTCGCCTTCAAACTGGACCACGGGATCGTATTCAGATGGATTCATGGCGCGAAACACCATTTTCGCGCGAGGACCACGCGTGTCGCGCCAGGAATCCATGCGATACGATCCGGGGTCCAGTTTGGAGGCGAATATCTCAACTGTGAGTTCACCATTTGAGCTGCCGCTTGGGCATGTCTTAGTTAGGGCTTCGAAATTACTTTCCACATCAGAATCCCATATGTCCAGATTTGCCTGGACGCTGCATTTAAGACAAGGTGATCATGCCACTGATTTCGCGCACAGAATCTTTTTGTAGATCACGTTGGGTATGCTCTAAAAGCAGCGTCCAGCTTAGACAAATCACCGGAACTTCCGCAGGACTTTGTTCACTACTGCGAAAGTGAAAACGTTGGCAATCGGAACTACTGCGAGATTTTCATGCCAGAGTGGTTAGAAATCGGAAATTCGGCAGTGTTCCACAAGGGATTCTCACGTGGATAGTAATTTTGGGATCCTAACTAAGCCGCCGCCCAACTGGCAGCTCAGTGCTCTAACGGCTGAGATATAAGCCTCCAAACTGGGCCCCAGGATCCTTTTAACATGATTTATGGCAGTTTCGCACGAGCACGCGTAACGCCATGAATCCATGCGAAATACGATCCTGGGGTCCAGTTTCGAGGGAGATATCTCAGCCGTTAGAGCACTACCTGAGCTACCGGTTGGGCGGTGGTTTAGTTAGGACCCCAAAATTACTATCCACGTGAGATCCCCCTGTGTCCAGACTTGCCTGGACGCTGCCTTTAATCAAATCTCTACAGCTGCTGAAACGTAACATACGTAAGCGAGCGGTCGTCGCGAACGACTGTCGGCGTTCACTATATTCCAAGAAATCTTTCTTTAACTTTCATAATGTTATCGTCAATGTAAGGTATATCTCGACGAAAGCCCCCCCCCCTCAAAAGTTCAAAAAAGTATGTGTGGAAAGGACGCGCGCTCATTGTCGCTCGAAAAAAGCCTGTAGCGCTTTGGGATCAAACGTTTCCAGCCGCGCCCGCGTTGGGTTTCAAAGCGACGCGTGGGCAATTGGGTTATACGGGGCCTGTACTACGTCTGCTTGTCACGAAGTTTTAGAGCGAGCTAGAAATTCTGGTCTGGTTGAGGTCTTGAGCCAGATTTTTGCACAGCGCACGCTAGCAGCATCTAGATTCACCTTCGAATGGATCGGATGCATGGGTCTTCCAAAAACGACACGTGGAACGGGTTTACGCGGCTTTTGATACGCGAAAGTTAGTTTAACAAGTGATCTGTCAATGAATTTTAGCCCAAAACATGAGCAAAAAGTCCATATTTACGCAAAATCGGAGCCAAAGAAGAAAAACTGCGTAGATTGTCGATTTGACAAGGTTTCACTCGAAAAATTGAGAAGACTTTTGAATAGAGATGTAGCCCAATGATTATCATTCTTATGGCGACTATCAAACATCGCAGTTGTTCCTTCTGCAGGTAATGCGAGCAGAATTATCACAAACTCTTTACGGTAACGCTTTGATGTCGGAGTTGAGGTGAAGCATATTTTACCTCAGACATCTGCAAAGACAGAGAACCTTACTGGTCTTACTTTGCCTTGATGTCACTCGGTTTACCCTTTCTCCCCCCCCCCCCCTTCCCACCCCCCGAAAAGTGAAGGTTTGCACTTTAATCAGCCACCATGTATCTACCGCAACTTTCACGAAACAACCTTTTCGCATGGATGACTGTAATATTCGTGAACAGCACATTTTTGAGCGAGTTCCGTGAATTCGATATTTTTGGGGCCGGCACGCTAGGAAAACGTCAAAAATTGCGATATGCAGATTTTGATCACTTTCTGAACATCTCTGCAAGATAAATTTTGAAAGAACTTTCGAGAAATTTTCCAGGAAAGAAGTTCAATCTCAGCGATATATTCGCGTCGCTCGTTTGAAGTCAGCGACGCGATATCGCTGAGACTCGGCCAAATCGCGACGATTAAGGCGAGGGAAGTATACCCTAAGAAATCTCATGTCAAATGGGACTACGTTTCAAAAGGGTATGAGGATGACTTATGTCAGGCCCTTAGTTTCCAGTTGAAGTAATCGCACATACATTGATTGTTTTTTCTTTGCGAGTTCCCATCATTAGTGGGTGTTTAGATGGCGCCCATTAACTAGACCTTTTCCGAATCCGCACGGGTCGGTGATTATCCGTGATCCTTCTGTGGTTATTCACTATCCTTTCAAGTCACGTCTCTAGTATCTTCGCGAAGATCTAGCATATGAGAGGATACCTCCAGAGCACTTGTTAGAGCACTCAGCCAGCGTTTTTTTTTTTGGCATCGTCTTGCTTTGTATCAGTCGCTTGGCATATTATTTAGAGGTTGACAATCTGGCTTAGAACTCGTGTCAGCCAAAAAATTTCAACCTACGCACTTTTTTCCAAAACCCTTGTTCTGTCTTTCAACAAAGGATCCTCGTCGAGGCTCCTTTGTTAGTGCAGTTTTTTCGTTGCCCAATCGGAAACATTTGCGAACATTTCCGTGACATGGACTATTGATGTTGATTCATCACGAGTTCCTTTTAGAAAAACTGTTGCGGCGCATCGGAGAGGTCTCTCTGCATCGTCTGCCTGTACATGGTCGTCTTTAGGGCGTCCAAATTCATTTTGAGTGGCGTTTCACCCGGAACCACTAAAAGTGTAGCGCATCGACTTCTTCTTCAACATGGATATATTCATCAAGAAGGAACCGGACTCTATAGGTGAGCAGTAGTTCGTCTATGAAATCGTGACGACGGATTTGACTGCGGTCTTTGCGCCCAGAAGAGCATGACATCCTCATACATAAAGGCATCACCTCAACGCTCAGCTCAGTCATTTCCAGTGTCCAGATATTATTATACCTAAGCAGAAAAACCAGTTAAATAGAGATTAAAACCAAGAAAATGCGGTTGCCGGAAGGTGCGTGCGTGTCGCGCGCGGTCGCGCCATCGTCACGATTTTTTGAATGTCGCATGTGTTATACGCACCTCAAAGAGTGTCCCGCCAGATTTTGTATCTCCATTTTTGTGCATGTTATAGGCTTCTTCGACACGTAGAACCCGAATTTGAGCTTTGAACCGGGTGAAAAGACCGTTTTAAGGGCGTTTATCCAATTTCCAAAAGGCAGCTCGGGAGAGAATCTTTATGGAAAGCTGGGAGGTTTTGACACGAAGACCCTGCTGCCTGTAATTTTTTCCGATGGATAGCATGCACAATGCAGGAGAGCGGTCGTGGGGTCCCCCGCAGAAGAATAAGCGAAGCCGCCGAGCGCGCGCGGGTTCAAGGGCCATTTTCTCGGCCCAGCGGGAACATCAACCAGCCGGACTGCGCCTGGAGGTCAGTGGGCGATCACGAACCCCACCATAGCTGTATTCCTCAGGGTGCGAATCTGCCGGGACGCTGCCCTTGGGCGGATTGCATTATTTATTTAGTCACTGATAGATCTTAATAAACCAGAAATTAGTACTAAGTATGCACGATCCATGACACGCGAAGACTGAGCGCCGTTGCGTCCGATTAGAATAGTTGGGACATGGGAGAGACACCAGGTGGTAAGAGAAGCGAAACAGCGCTCGATCAGAGAGATGCAGTTAAGTCCGCAGTCTTTGCGTGCTATGAATCGCCTATATGTATATAACAGTGCTCGGCTAGTGTTGGAAAAATATAGAGAAAAGCAAAAAGGGTTGCATGCAACCTTCCTGGACCTGGAGAAAGCCTCCGATATGGTGCCCCATGAATTCATATGGTGGACCTTTCGGAAACACATAGTACCAGAGGAGTACGTTCACTGGATAGAGTTGATCTACCACAACGCTTCAAGCCACGTGCAAACAGCTGCAGGGCAATCGAAAAAATTTCAGATGAAGTTGGAGTGCACCAAGATCCATCTTCTTGCTCTTCATCACTGTTATGAACGTCGTGATGGAACCGCTCAGAAGTGAACGTCCTTGGACAAATCTCTAGCAGATGATTGTGCTTTTAAGACAGGACTACTACAGAATGAATCATCAAGTGTTATTCTTGATTTTTTTGACTTGCGTTCTGGGGTGAGACAAGTTGCTTATTGTCCGGACAGCGTCACTCTGAGGGAGTCCGTCGCCTAATCACGAAGGGACCTCAGCGCCAAGCAATACAACTCAACTTGTGAGCTGATGGGCTTCCAACAACCTTAGTTTCTCGATCAATCAGCGGTTCCTCAACTGGGCGATGGTGAGCTCCCACTCGAGTACTGACCCTGCAGCACTCGGGGTAACTGATGTACTGCCGCACATATATTAATGGAGCAACTCTAAGGGGTACAGATTCAGTGGTCCCTGGTAACATCCGTGGCAGTTAGCCCTTTTTAGTATGAGCTGTAGTTGTCTTTACTGGGATGAACGGTATGTGCTTGAATGTGCTGCGTTATTGGTATCGATGTGGTAAGCCACAGGTGTGGCTTCACATCAGAGGCCTATTGCGTTTCATTACCATCTTGAATTCCGAAAAGTTTAGGGATGGCTACCCTTTGATTCAAGAGAGCATGCGCGTGAGAGAGACGCAGACTGCGTCGCGGGCGAGCGGCCTTAATTAGGTCACAAAGCCCTGCCTTCCAGCCGCCAAGGCAGTTGAATTAAAGATTGGGTAGACTTAACTGAGAGTGTCCAATAATAAACAGTGTTTCACATCGTTGCAGGCAATACTAGCATTGCGCAGACACGGCTAAAGGATATTCGTTGACGACAGCCCCATTTCGTGCATTTACACCATCGCGAGCGTGCTTTTTTAAAGTCTTTCCAGCTTTACAGTACGCTACAGCGCGCTGGGCATTCGCAGTTCACAGCATGCCCGTCCTTTAACCTCTTCCGCATTTCTCATCTTTTTCTCATCTTTTTCTCCCTTTAAATCTTCAGTTCAGGCACTTGCTCATCAGATACTCATTCTCCTTTTCTTTGAAGTTGTATCGTCGAGCATCCTACAAGTTCTGCTTTGATGGATACTGAAAGAGCAGGAAAAATAGTTTTGGTACAGTTATTGAATTCATGCTCCTTTTTACACACCATAAAAACATTTTCAGAATCGTAAACTATCCTACCGGCATAGTTAGGGGAAAGAATGTGCTTTCTTCATGAGCAGTGATGGCTATCATGCCTTCTCTTCAAATGAGACCACTGAAATGTTTATTTTAGCACACCTACATGTCTCCTTGATGTAGAAGTGCTGAAACAGCCACTACAGCAGTCTCTCTTTAGAAGAAAAGGCAAATCATTATGAACTGAAAAAAAAACATTGCGCTTCCAATCATAGCCACGATATCCGCCATTGCAACTTTGAAGAAAACTCATTATTCCTCCCGATTCTTTCCGGAGCATGGTTTTGCGTGTATGAGAATGTGTAACTGCCTAAAATGAAATTTAAGGAGAAAAAACGATGTGAAATACTCAAACAACAAAAAGAGATTAAAGGACGGGCATGCTGTGAGCTGCGAATACCCCGCGAGCTGCAGCCTACTGTAAAGCTGGAAAGGCTTCAAAAAGGCACGCCCGTGATGGTGTAAATGCACGAAACGGGGCTGTCGTCAACGAATATCCTTTATTAGTCACACGTTTCTATTGCTTCACGGCCCCACCTGTTGTACTCCAAGCAGCTGTTGACGAATGTAAGGGTCCAATCCACGACAATTACTTCAGTGGCGGTCCGAAAGTTTTTTTTTGGGGGGGGGGGGGAAGAGAGAAGGGCTCTTCAAGAAAATTTCTGTGTTCTTTCAAACACCTAAATTTATGAAGCTACTTGAGATTTAAAAATTTTAAAATTTTTCTGGACATCTATCTATACATTTCAGCTTTCTGCCTTTGGGTCAACGAGTCATCGACAGGTTAACACGATTAGTGGACATCGAGCTGGAAACATTGGGTGCTATGAAGGTCAGCATGCCCACACTAGGATCGAAAGTATTATGGGAAAAGGCTGCTCGATGGAACAGCATGGAATCTGAGCTGTTCAAAATTCGAGATCGTAATGATGTTGAGATGTGCTTACAGGTACCGGTTTGGTTTTTATTCTCATGTAGTCCTCACACATCGTTTGCAGCCTACAGCTGAAGAGATGTGCACGCAAATGATTGCACAGCTCCCTTTGCAAAAGAAACGAATGTTTCCATTGTTGATCTATCAGACTACGGAGAAATTTAGGGATGAAATGAATCCAAGGTACGCTTATTTTCCGCTCTTCAATCATCGTCTATATTTGATAATTAGACGTTCCTAGATTTGGTTTACTTCGATCTCGGCAGTTTCTTATGAAAGATCTCTATTCTTTCGATCTTACAAAAGAGTATGCTAAACATACTTATGAGAAAGTTTGTCGGGTATATGACCGAATTCTTCGAGATCGTTTAGGATTAGAAGTGTATAAAGTAAGTTTCACTTTTTTTTAGAATTAAGCGTAAGTAATAGAAAGTTATAACAGGTGGTTGCACAACCGGGTATTTATGGAGGTTCACTATCTCACGAGTACCACCTTCCAAATCCACTGGAAGAAGATGGAATTCACTTCTGTTCCAAGCAAGTTCTTCCTTTTTTATCTTTATTTGTTATGTGGCCGAAAGTGAGTGACACGCACGAACTATACTTGATCTGCCTTCTTTTATACGCTTTTGCGGTTATCGATTCCAAATTGTTCGTGTACGCCCCTCTGCGAGACGAGCGATGTTTCATCTTTAAAGTGAAACTGCGGGCATTTTTTGCTGACCTCCCGACGGTGGCAATCTGTCGCATGGGGATGTACGAATGAACATCTTGGAGCCCAAGGGTGAAGAGTATTTTGAGGTTGTCGAGGTCCTTTCCAGAATACCACATGCTCTTCCCTAGCTGCGTTGTAGTTCTGCTACAAACGGAGCGTTCTGCAGTAAGGGTTCCCTCATACTACGCGCTGAGTGCGCCGCAGGACGCAGCGTGCGCGGCGTGCGCCACAGGAATCGCTCTGAAAATATACGTTCACTGCAACGCCTTTTCGCTGGTTATGTATGTATTTCTATATCTCCTGCACGTTCACCTTCATACATACATAACCAGCGAAAAGGCGTTGCAGTGAACGTATATTTTCAGAGCGTTTCCTGCGGCGCACGCCGCGCACGCTGCGTCCTGCAGCGCACGCAGTGAAGGGTTGTTTCAGACTGCAGCACTGACTGCAGCAGACTGCAGCAGACTGCAGCTGACTGCAGCAGACTGCAGCTGACCGCAATGACCACACTGACCGCACCGGTCGCAGCCTCTTTTCTTAAAAGAAAAAACAACCGCGATTATCAAAGCAGCGTGATTCGCGCATAAGTTCCATCGGAATTCTTCTCAATCAAATTTTGGCGATAGTTTTCTTTGGTATGTTCGTATTTGTTCTAATTCTTCCTATCATTGCATACCTGTTTTGTAACATTGTAAACTTTGTTGTCTTTTGCTTTTACGTATATATTGTTGTTGTTTGTTTAAAGCACAACTATTTATCCTCTCCGCCTGCATGCTACAGCCGCTGCGGTCGTTGCGGTCAGCTGCAGTCTGCTGCAGTCAGTGCCGTCAGCTGCAGTCAGCTGGTGTCTGCTGCAGTCTGCACTGACCGCAGCAGACTGCAGCTGACTGCACTGACTGCAGCAGATTGCAGCTGACCGCACTGACCGCAACGACCGCAACGGCTGAAGCCTGCAGGCGGAGAGGATAAATGGTTGTGGTTTAAACAAACAGCAACAATATATACGTAAAAGCAAAAGACAACTCGGTTTAGAATGTTACAAAACGGGTATATGCGATGATAGGGGGAATTAGAACAAATACGAACATATTAAAGAAAACTATCGCCAATATTTGATTGAGAAGAATTCTGATGGAACTTATGATCTTCTTATGCGTAAATCACGCTGTTTTGATAATCGCGGTTGTTTCTGTTTTAAGAAAAGAGGCTGCGAGCGGTGCGGTCAGCTGCAGTCAGCTGCAGTCAGTGCGGCAGTCTGAAACAACCCTATGAAACAACCCGAACGTATATTTTCAGAGCGATTCCTGCGGCATAGTATGAAGGAACTCTAATATTAACCTGTTGCAGGTGCCGCAGTGGAAGCAAGAAGGAAGATGGTCTTTACAAGTGCGACCACGACGAATCAGCAGTCAAGACATTTTCTACCGTCGAAGTTGCTCATACGTTCAATTTAGGTGAGAATCTATTAATATCATTTTCGTTGCATCTCTACATCGCGCATTCGCTGCAGGTACCAAGTATTCAGAAGCTTTTGGTGCTCTCAGCAAAAACAGAGAACCATATGAGATGTGTTGTTTTGGCATTGGAATTAGCAGGTAATATCACTTACTTTCAACTTCGTAATGCAAAAATTTGCACTTTGCTGAATCCTTCAGGCTCCTTCCAGCTATTGTCTCACTCCTGTCTCCAAATGAGAAGGCAATACGACTACCCCCGCTTATCGCGCCATTTTCAGCCGCAGTTGTTGTTTCGAAGGTATGATTCATTCTTACATAACGACGAATTGACTGCGGTCTTTGCGCACACAGGAGCATAAAACACCCATACAAACAGGCATTGACTTAACATCCAGCACAGTGACTTCCAGTGTCTAGGTATTATCACATGTAAGCAGAAAAACCACCCGAGCAGAGATAGAAACCAAGAAATGGGAGTGCGTGCGTGTCGCGCGCGGTCGCGCCATCGTCACGATTTTTCGACTGCCCTATAACAGTTTAATTATTATCATTATTCACCACCTACTGCGTTCATGCTTGTTCTTGTTAAGGCATGAATGTGTAATACATTGTGCGTATCTATAGGCTGTCTCAGTGACGGTGTCACAGCTCCAGCGGTTCGAGTCTACGCGGTCGTCTCGGTAGGGTTTTATATAGCATTTGCGAACGGACTTTAGGCAACTTCTCACCATATCGAGCGGTGCTGAGCTGTGACAATATGCCCAAAGAATGCGGCTGCTAACGCTGTACAAGGTCCCAGCGAAGCGGTCGCGCAGATCTGAATCGCTGAAGCCGTGACACTCTCATTCAGATAGCTTAGGGGCGCTAAACGCAGGCCGCCAGCCAAATCAGCGTCCTGTGCCAGTACTACTATGAACTATTTTGAATGTTGTGATCATGTAAGAACTGTCACACACGCAAAGGTGCGAGTTGCGATCGCATCGCGGTGCTCTTCACACAATTGGTTCAAACCCCACAAACAATAGTTTTCATTATTACAGAACCTCCTGGACAATGTAATGACTGAACTGACATTGTCTTCACTCGATCGACGACTGAGCGGCGGTGTGCTTCTTGATGATCGAATCGAGGACAACATCGGCAAACGCATAAAGCATTTGCGGCAGATTGGCATCCCTAGGATTGTCGTACTAGCCAAAACCACTGAGGATACGATCAATAAGGTAAAGAGTCACTCATTCATCGTTTTGGGCCAGAAAGGTTTCTTATCCAGGTCCCTAAGGTGGAGTACTTTCCGCCTGCACAAAATCCAACAGAAGATAGTAGCTATGAATGGACGTTGAGCGAAGTAATGCAATCTATAGGATAGAGGATAGAAGTTGCTAACTTTATTTTCGAACGGGTCCGTTGACATATTGACCAGAACAATGATTTGCCCTTAGAATTGCTCATAATCAGATTATGACTAATAAAATGCGAACAATAATAAAAATTTATATATTTTAGTTCTATGTACATCTTCAGTAATCTCACGAAAAATCTTCGTCATTTGTTGGCTGCGGTGTTGGAAGCAGACTGAGTCGAACAACGTGTTGTCGGCTTACCATAGCTAAACCTATGGCTCTGGGTTCACCTTCTTCACCTGACCATCGCTCCTCAGATCTAGAAATAGCTTTTATGTTTGACACTGACATGATCAGGTAGATTTACAGCAGGGTGTCAAGCTTCCATATACAAATTCCATTACACTTGGATATACCAGGTAACAACTTGCGGTTTAGAAGCACTGATGAGCAACTCTGGGTTTTACGAGGCAATACGTGCGGTTCGGACTGGGGGGGGGGGGGGACTTCTCGATCGATTTGTATGGAACCGCTAAAATGATGTTGCTAAGGACTTCCTGTCAGGTAGGTGCCAGACCCATTCGGTTCAATCGATTCATGCGGCTCAGCCTTTTGCTGTTGATCAAAGCACCAAATGGACTAATAGCGAATGGAGTAAACCGATTGAATAGGATAAATCTCTGGCACACCTTAGCAGACACATGAGACCTATAAGCAAGTGTACCAGAACACTAATTCTAACCATAATACACCTAATGCAGTCGCATATTTCCAAAAACACTGTTTCGAAACCCTCCACCATCCAGTTTTCCAAAGCATTCTTACTTTTTAGTTATGCCAAAATTATATTTCAGAGCTATAGGCTTGAAAAGTCGTCTTTGTAGGAGAGGGAGGAGAGGGGAGTGGAAAAATGATGAACTGGTAACGTGGATACAAGCAACTAATGCCACTCAGATCAATCTCGGTTATGCGACTAAAACTAGCTTCCACCCACATCTTGATGAGCAAACGCTAAAAGACAATTAAACATCTGCATGAGTTTGAGAAAAGAGCATCGAAAAGCAAGGGATCAAAAAACGAAATGATTGCCCAGATGCTTTCTGATATGCGCTCGTTTAGATTTCTGCAGGAGTACCTCATAATTCCCAGGCAGAACTCATGTATAAGCCAACACTTTCTTTCTCCCTTCAACATTTGCTAGATTTTTTTGTTTTATTGAGCGGCCACACCATCATACCAGTTTGTCCTGTCAACTGTATTTCGAACATGGTCTGTATATTAAGAGGGCGCTAACAATAAGATCACAATCAAAGAAAGCATTGTTGTCACAGAAGTTTGGTTCTTAGGGCAATTATATGCGCCTTCAGATTAAAACATTCTCGCAATGTTTTCAATGGTACCAGACATGATAATAATGTTTCTATTAGGTCGTAAAAGTTTTGTGACACTTTCCTTTGTTCTCCTCTAGAAAACTCTAGAAACTCTAATAAAGCCTAATATTTGGCACATATGAGCAATGGACAAAGGACTACCTACTAGCCTCTAGAAAACTCTAGAAACTCTAATAAAGCCTAATATTTGGCACATATGAGCAATGGACAAAGGACTACCTACTAGCACCAGTTCCTTCTTTACAGACGTTTACAGTAAAAATAAAGGCAATCTTGCGACGGCACTCAAATTTCCATTTTTCTCTTTCCTTTCAAAATTCTATCATTCTTATTTTTCAGGCTCTCAGATTTTTTATGGATTTCTGGGGACATAAGTACTAACACGAAGACAAATGCAAGTAGGAAATTCGCCAAAAATAACTGAGAATAACTGAATAACTTTTTACAAATTTCAGAATTTGATTTTTCATGTGTGACATGTAAGTATTGAAAAAATACAACAATCCATTCAATTTGGAGTTGAGAAAAAATTTTCTCAGAAAGTATAGAAAATTTTTTCTTAAGTGCAATAAAACTTATGTTACGACCTAATATATCCCAACAAATCTACGCCAATATTTAAAAAACTGATTAAAAAGCAATAACTTCCTACCTGCCCAAGATAAAGTTTGGCTTTCTATCAGTGCACATCATTTGGCCACGAATGATTCTACCGTCAGTAAGTTCAACTTCCATCCATCTTCCCATATACTGGGCTACACTTTCCATCGTTGTACCCCTATACCCCTATGTTCGAGGCCATTCTCAGAAAGCGCCAATCTCTCCGATGTTCAAATATCCACTGGCAAATTACAGATCACCTCAAAAATTCGTAAACTGCCATTAAAACTTTATACTCGAGAAAACATTCAAAGAATCAGTATGCCCAAGTAATTAATAAATAGGGCTGCAAGAGGCCAGCATATCAGTGATGAGGTACGATCTTTTGACATCGAATATGGCAACTAACATCATCTTTACGATTTTCAGCATAGTACAGAACTTTAATATTAGCGTTACCCCACTCCTCTTAGCAGTGTGATATTAGAATTTGGCGTAAGAATACGAGAAAGACAAAAAATGGAAAGCTAAAAACAGGGAACAAGTGTGCCTAGTAGAAATCGACACTAGAAAATGAGATTTGAGAAGCGACATGCCAAAATACCTCAAATATTCCAGATATATAGAAATGATTGCAACCTGGTATTACAACAAAAACACATAATACACGTCGACGATATTGTAGCACTTATAAGGTGCTTAGAGCGGCAGTGTTTGATGCTATAGCTGGAAAGGCTGACAAGTTGTACTTGCGAATTGAAGCGTCTAAGTCTAATTATGCTGATGTTCTATGATGAAAGTTCGGTAAGAATTTTGATATCACTATCATACAACTGGGACACGGCTAACACTTTGGCTGAGGAATACTTCTCGCGTACAGCTAGCAGCTTCGGCAACGAGTGTAGCCTCAGGAAGACCTTGGCAAAAGTTGATCCTAGTTCCTCAGCTTCCTTCAGTGTGATACCCGTCATCTTCCTGGAAAACAAGCCATGGAGAAGTAGAAGCGTATATTCAAACTTTTGGCGCCGGCTTCCTCGCTGCTAGGTAATTTTTCTTGTAAAAAGCCACCATATATAAGGAAAATTCGACATTTGTGAAATGGAGCAAGAAACTAGACAGACAAATTGTTAAGAAGTATTTTCGTGACAAAGTAGTCTCGCCGGGTCGATACTCATTTTTTTGCAAAACAAGTCGGAAATCTCGGCTTTATTTAAACATTCCGGCCATTTTCAACAATATGCCAAGCAAGCACAAAAGAGCCACTGCTTCGAAAGGCTCAATATGATTTCCACTCTCCCATGAATCAAACTTTTGAAAAGTCTGGCCATGCATTAGGCATAATCGCTGTGATCAGCATGTGATACTGGTAATAACGAAACACCAGCAATTCGTGGAAGAACTCCTGTGCTACACACATTTCCATTATTTTTAAGCCTCATTTTCACAGAATTTGATGGGTTATGGAAACAGCCAAGCGCAGCATTCGTAACAGTAAATTCTTACGATGGAGTTTCCAAAAGTTACAGCAATACATTGTCTTCATTGAAACACAAATCACACTACTAAATTGCAGTGATGATAGAGGTATAAAAAAATCAAGAAATTGAACAAGAAGAGTCCTTACAAAAAATGGTAGCCTCACAGATGCTCAAAGCTCACCTCATTTTATCGCTATCGAATGGTGTTTCACATAACTTAGCAGCAATATATGTACAGGCACATGCCGTATGTGATGGCAGCATCGGTGAGAGAGACGCATCCAAGAATGCCATCTTAAAAAGGAAACTTAACGAGAGGAAACATATCACGACCAAAAAAGCTACCTCGATCAAAAACTTCGCCATATGATGCATTCTCATGCCGAATTTCATCTCTTTGCTGAACCACCGCAAAAAGGTGAGCGAATGTGGCCGAGAAAGATCAAAACTAAACATTCATGCTATTCTTGGTATATCAAATTTCCTAACACGACTTACTCAGTGGCAGTGAGTATCTTGGCCTCCATCTTGAGGATCATTTTCTTTGTGTATGCATTGTCAGTGATATATTCAAAATCATGGATATCTGGCGCATACATTTCCTCATACTTGGACGCGACTAACCTTTAAAAGAAGGAAATTTGTTATCTAACAAACGAAGATAGCCATTTCATACTTACATGCTGGATACGCCAACTAATTGTAGTTCATTCTTATCAACCTTTGTTCTCGATAACATGATATCTAGCAGGTAGATGGTAAGATGAAGCGTTTCGGGCAAGAGATGAAAGCGTGTATGTACCTAGAAATTGAAAAATTCAATCGAATTCAGAGAGGGGGCAAAATCGTCCAACAGCGCACCTGTATCAGCCAGTCGACAAGAATACTGCGCATTTTTGGTGTTGATGGCGACTGAACCATGAAATCATCTTCAATTCGAGTTTTCTTCTCAAGAACCAGTAGATATTGGTAAACCTAGAAAATAGATCCACCGATGGAATAAGGTTCGGCCTAGTGAACGGTCGTCGCTTTTACTGGCGTTACAGAGTCGCTATTTATCAGTGTTGCTAAGGTTATCGAGGACCGTTCACTATTATTCATTCCGTTATTACTGCTGTTCCACTTTGAACTGACGATCAGCATTAAAATTTAGCCTTTCCGCTTCCAAATCCGCTAATTGGTGATCGTGTTTTCCTTCACGTCCGTAGATGTACGGAGACAAACATTGTCACCAGCGGAAAAAAAGGGGCGGAAAGACCACGGAAAGATAAGGAACGACAATAGCATTGGTTACGCTAGTGACTTTGATACTAGTAACGGCGGTAGCATGTAGCTCCGTAACCATGGTAAGTAGTCCAAACTTAATAAAAAAAACTGCAACATTTGCTGTACGACATACAAGGTTTAGAAAAACTGCGTTAAACTCCAAAGCAATTTGTTATAATCTTAGCAACAAAGGAGCAGCATCATTGAAGCCACCGAGAAGAACTGCAATTCATCGAGTTTAGCGAGAAAACCACAACTTTCGATAAGGCAGAATTCATGCAGAACATTGCGGCGCATAAGTCAAGCTGAATTGATCTTGAATCAATGTACAAAAATCAAAAGATCATTGTTGAGCTACCAAGAAATACATGTTCCTTATAAGAAATTCACAAGCTAAACAAAATTGTAACAAGTAACCAAACTTCCCTAGAAAGTAGTCTTAACTCAAAGAGGTGGAGAACACTCTTGAAAAGTTCAATAAAAGAATATAATTTGATAAAGCGATAATAACGAATGCCCACTTCCTGACGTTTTAGTAGGAGAAATTCTGTTGGGGCATTCACCTTATTCCACAAAGATGAGTGCAATCTACATTTTTCTACACCTCTGTAAAACCAAGAATTTACAAGGCACTACCGACTCTTGAGTGACCGGATGTCGACGAGCCCGAGAAGTGGCGGCGCATAAATTTTGGCTACTGTATACGGAGTAGTCCGCAACATGATGAGCGGCGCCAATTACACAACAGTAGACGTTTGAATTGCTGAAGGCCATTATCTCCGAATGGATCTTCGCTTAGAATAGTAGACTGATGATTAAGTGTTGCAAATTGAATGCAAAGTCTTCAGGCGAGGTGAAATGAGTTCGAGAGCAGTGGGAGAAGAGAACAGGGTGGGTTTACCTGGTCGCAAAATTCCACGAACTGGATTTCACGCTCGATTCCAGTAACTTCAGGATGGACGCGGCTTTCCGGTACAACATCCTATAAAGGCTACTTCAGATGCGCTCTTTGAATTAAAGATTGCGACCTGTTTCTGTTGGCTTTGGATTATAGCCGAGGATTTGACTGTAGTAGATCTTGTAGCTTTGGCTATTGGCTTGCCAGTAGCACGTTCAGCAAGCTTAAAAATCAACAAAGGCTATCGTGAGGTGAAGAAAATAAGTGCTCTGCCCAAACCGCTATATTTGCTCCATTTCTTTGGTCTTTCAGAGCTGGTCTCCTCGTCAAAAGTGCTTCTTTTCCAGCAGCTGTTCTCTTCACTAGATTTTCATTGACATTGGCTTGAGCTCGGGTGGTTCTCTGCGAATTTATCTCGTAACTTTTACAGAGGTCCGTGGAAATCTGAACTACTTACCCTGCCTTGGATGTCCATAATTTCTCAAAACGAAAAACAGCAGAATAGGAACTTCAGAATTCGGTTAGTTTGCTATGACAGAGTAACAGTCACTGCAAAGGTAATACTACAAATGAAGGTAGACTCAATCTCTAGAGCAAGCTACAAGTCCGCTTGATTGGACAGAATTTAGTAAAATGAGTCGGACTCTCTAGAGATTCTGATTGTAAGCATAAACTTACAGATAAGCGATCCCGAAGGCGCGGGTAGGGTCGTCGACGAGGGATTGACGAAAGGTTTGAAGGGTTCAAGACGACGTTTTTTCTGACGAACGGAGAGAACTCGCGGACAGTTTTTCAACTCAAATTAACCGCCGCCGTGCCGAGATGGACGCTGACCCGCCGCCTCGACCTGGCAGAGACGCAGATTTCGATGCGCGGCAGTTTGAATCCATTCTGAGGGGCCACAGTAGTCACGGACGGTCGTCAGCTGAGGGTGACAGAACAGCTGTAGATCTCGTGAGTCTGTCTGGACCAATATGGGTCCTTCTAGAGCTGTTCTTGAACCTAACCGGAAAATTATACAAGCGGTTTTCACTTGCAATTTCACCCTTTTCAAGATTCTTCCTATTTACCAGCCCATTCACCTTGAAGATAGCGTCTGGGCAGAACCTCGATTTCTATTTTTTTTGTCTTGTCCAGGCCTTTTCATGGCGCTGATTCCAAATGTTGCACCCAAAATGTGTGAATTCAAAAAGCCCCATTTTGAGAAAAATTGATAATTTTGTGAAAACTTTAGACAAGTCCCGCTAATACTATCCTTGTCGAAAGCAAGCATCAACAGGTAGATAGACACTAAGGCTACTGCATGACGAAGGCGGAGAAGCAGCATTAGTTGAGCGGGCGCGAACGCGGCGCGTGCGTATCCTCACCGTTGTAATTCTTGCACCTCATGCGCTCTGTGGCTAATAAAGCCGCGTTCGCGCCCGAAGAAACTGCGGCTTCATGTGCAGCAGCCTACATATCACTGAGTCTTACTAGGAGTTATACAAGTCAAGATTTTTGCGTCGCTTTCCCCCTCGCCTCCCTCCCTCCCCCCCCCCCGGGTGGAGGACTATATGTCGCCGGATTCGGAAGAGTCCCGCGCGGATTCCCTGCAGGAACGCATGGCCGCGCATGTACACGGGTGCGTATTTGTCGCAAATGACCGCGAGGACCGCCCTTTTTCGGCGACATATACTCCTCCATCCCCCCCCCCCCCCCTCAATAAACCATCCAATGGCCTATATCTGGAGAATCCCCCTTCGAGAAAAGCCTTACGATATTGGGTGTTTTTGTCCGATTCATCCGTGTTTGCTTTCACAACAGCTATACAGAGTTTTTGCCTTCTCAAACATAATTGGCATACACGACATCGAAATGGACTAAGTACCCAAATTTGCGGTTCATACTTCAGAATAGCTGCCGCTATGCCCTGAATTCCTGCATACAATCAGGCCACCAGTAGTATTACTGCATAGAATTCACTTGGAACTTTTTGTTTATACCTAGAACTGGCGTGCATACGCGCGGATGCACGAAAATGCTAAACGGGAGTCAGGGAGTGCACACGGGCATATGCACATGGTCGTTAAGGTGTTAATGTTACTTCGGGCCAGTTATTAAGCCACTCTCAGCCATGACGGGACTAATTGTCCTTGCTATCTTATTGTTGGCCCAACAGGTGCTGGATGCTGAACTAGAATTGCCAAAAACCACATGAGATAGCTTTCTAAACGAACCTATCAAAGGTACAACACTTGAAAACAGCGTTCACCCCAAAAACCTGCTCTACAGATTAGTATGTACAGTCTGTCCCAACCCTAATAACGTGAAAACCAGCATGGCGGGAGAAGCGTCGCTGGGACTTTGCGCCAAGCCCATAGTTACGATAGGGGGAACAATGGGTCCTACCCCCTCCTTTTGGGCCAGGACCCGGATGACCCTCTTCCGGTCTGAGTTGCGAAGTTAATTTGAGAATGAAAACCTATTGCAGACAACATCACCCGTGGATCATCCATATGAACAATATTTATATCGATTACAATATGAACCCATTGGCGACGATGTGGACCACCGGTGGCCTACGCACTTTTTGCTGCCAGCCACGATTACACCCCTAAAAAATCCAAAAATAAAAAAAAAATCACCCATTCGGTTAGTCAAAGCCGTGTATGAGTTAATCACGGTAGTTGCATTTCTCCGCACCCTTTCAGAGGCGTCTTTGATAGATACTGTAGTTAAAAATTGACTAGCTCCGAGAAACAAAAATGATTCGAATATATACAACTCAAAAAAGAACACAAAGATCAAGAATGAAGTTTGTTATCGAAAATTCCAATGGTCGTTTGCTGCTTCTTTCTCCCATGTTTTTTTTGGCAAAAAATCGTGAGCATATTTTCAGGTCTTCTTTCTAAGGCTTGTCACAGCTTTGTGATAGGTGGACAGATAGACACGCTTACTCGTTAGAGAGGCACCAGGTCGATGTTAAAAACAAAAAAGTCTCGTGCTAAAAAAACAGTGTGATATGCAGTGTTTACGGTAGATAGTAATAGACTACTTCAATAAGATTAAGTTTTTCTTATAAAATGAAAGAATTAGATGTCAAAGTATTTGTAGATATATACAGTCGGTCAGATCAATCCCTCATATCTTACTGCTAAGAAGAGATAGAAAAACAACAGTCAACAGCCTATTTTACGGTCTAATGTTTCAACAGCGTATTTCGATTCTACATGATCGCAGCTTTCAGATGGTATACACATAGCTTATCGGGGCACTTCCGTATCCTTCCGTGTCCTGGCTTCAAAAAGTCTGCGCTCCTGTGATAGTGACCGTTCTCTCCAACCCATTTCCAAAAAATGACAAGCTTTTTCGCCCAACGTTCTATACAACAAAGGCTTAGACAATGGGAATTCGACATAGATCGTCGAATTTTATCTACGTCATCTAAACCGCGAGATATTAAAGATTTTATCTGGATGATGTATCAACTGATCTAATGTGCTCATTTTCTGCACTATTGCAACGAAGACGAAAACTACGAGAAAGCCGACGGTCTACGTTTATTAATGAAGACTTGCTCTATAACATAGATAATCAGCGGTAGCTAGGTCTCTGTTGGGCAGAAATCTACTGTCAAAAATGGACACAATTTTAGGAACGCAAAGTGTCTCACAATAGTTGGCTAGAAAAAAGCCTATTCCGAATCTCTCTTTCCTAAGCTTTCAAATGGCATATATTAGGTTGGCGGATAATTTCTGTCACACTTTTATTTTTATTTTTTTTTAAATCTAAGAAGCTTTCGAAAATTCTTATGTTTGAGGATTGTTGGGGGGGGGGGGTGCAAACTTCTACCCGCCGGTAGTGTCAGATCCGCGGTCCATGCGCAAAACACCCACTTTATCGGTAGGAGTACATTTTATGGACATTTTGGCCAGCGGGTTGGCATTCTTCCAGGTGATCGGGGAGTGACCGGGCGACGTGGTATTCGGGCAGGGTATGGTCCATAGTTTTTAGCGAACGTAGAGAGATGGAGCAATCATGTCCGCGCACGTCCTCTTTAAAAAATTACAAAAATTATTTGCGACCCTTACGTATCAAATGCTACACGACGCACACAAAGAGAAAAATTTTCGACGAATTTTTGATTTTTTTCAGTTGTTTTTCACCCCTTGTTTTTGGCGTGTGCTAGTGGCACCAAAGTGCTACCATAAAAGAGAGGATGCGAAAGTATGTTCTAAAAAAATTATGGGAGAGAAAAAACACAGTGAGACGCAGGAAAAAAATCAAAGAAAAAATGACAATTTTGAGTGTTCTTAAGTTGTCTTAAAATCGCTGGCTACTTGTGCATTTGCGGCATCTGTGTGTACGCCCTGCAGTGACTACATATGGAGCAACTTTGAAGATTCTAAAGAACTTCTGAAACTTCCAGAATTTTACGAAAAAAGTGTAACAGAAATTATCCGCCAACCTAATCGATTGTCGGGAAATCTAGGTGGAGATTTTTACTATTAGCTTGATCCACCCCGTCATTATGGCTCACCGGAGCAAGGACTATTTGAAGCCAGGAAGCGAAATACCCGAACAAGCTATATACCATTCAAAAGCTTAGGAAACGGAAACTCGACCTAAACCGTCGACTTTTTCCTAGCCTCACTCTACCGAGAGACGCTGCATTTTATCAAAAATCATGTTTAGGCCGAGACCTCCTTCATCTAGAGAGGGCCCGGCTCCCCCTATGGCACCTATGGTGGCTGCTAGTTTATAAAGTCTCGGGCATGTTCACGCAATTTCTCCGAAGACAACTGTTACGAGTCCATTGCATGCCAATCGTCTTGCATTACAGTTGTGATAGTTATTCGCGATTAGTCGAATGGGAGAATTGGTACAACCGAAATGCGCGATGAAATCGCGTGAAGTATGGGCAAGACCTAACGGTAAAACAGATACCTTCTATCCTGAGCAATTTAACCTTGGAAATGATAAATCGTATTATGTGCGAGGTAGACAAAATTTATATAAACTGCACAACAACACACATACATAGCAACCATTTCTGTAAACTTCACATCCGAAGTGAAAGTGAAAGCGATGGAGTACTTGGATAGCAGCGAAGCTGAAGGAAGACGCTATGATCGTTCTAACGATGCTAACACTGATAAAAGAAAACATTCGTTATTACGTAAATCAACAAAGAAAAAAGCAGCCAGCGTAAGAAAGTTGCAGATAGTATAGACAATTGATATATCGATATATTTCTCTTTAAAAAAACACTTCTGGGCAGATGGAACAGCAGATACAGCAGACAGTTAGGCGACAAAGAAGCTCTATTTGCAAGTAGTGAATTCGATTCAAATGGACTATGGTCATTTTTGCCTAACAACGATACAAAAATTCAACAGTTCGCAGGTGAAAAAAAATGCTGAACAAAGTACACCGAGAATTAAACTCATATCACAGCTTGAATCAAATCATTATGAATTCAATTTTTTCCTGATCTGAAAGAGTTTAAGTGGCGAAGTGGAAAGGACGTAAAGGCTGATGACGAGCTCGTGCTTGAGCTCTCATAGTTTGGTCTTAAAGGCGAGAATTTCGGTATCTGCTCTGGGATACCACCAAGCACGGGAACGCTGGCTCGATGCTAAAACTTATGTTTAAAAAAACCAAAAGAAAAAAGAAGATATATCACGAAAACGATAAAACTTACTCTATATCTATCGTCTTGCGTCATATAACTGGCTGTTGAAAGTGACATCGATGACATGGATATATTGTCACTGTCATCACGATTAACATATCCACGATTACCGACATCAGCTTCCGAGTAAGGGTAAGCAGAGCTTACCTAGAATGAAGAAAGGCTAACATAATCCACGCCCTTCACAATCAATGAGATTAGTTAGTTTTGCAAAAGAAAGAAGCAACAAGATAAAAGTGCTACCAACCTTGTCGACATTCGTCTCAGGAGGCCACTCTGGTTCTTCATCAATCATTAATCTGCCTGCTGGTAAGTTTCTAATAGATTCCTTGAGGGCGATGTCGGTGAATAAATTGCCACCACGCTTAAAAACGGAAATTTAGAAACTTTATCGCAAAAAAAGGTGCAAGTGTACTGCAAATTTAGAAAATCCACTAAAAGAGCACTGAGGCGCCCACAATTCATGATAACGCTAATCAAACAAATCTTCATCTATTTTGTTCTGCATATTGTTGGGCATTAGCACAAGAATCTCTCGTAAGATAGAGAGTAACCTGAAACCACCGTTACACTTTGCCAAGGTCCGCTGACAGTTGAAAAAATTCGCAACAAAAACTGTATGTGTTTAAGCAAAGTGTAAATTTTGCCCAAGCAAGCTTGGGCAAAATTTACATCAGCATTGTGCATTTCTTCGCGGAAATGAAGGAAAGGAAAAGCGCCTCTTAGGCCCGTATGCACGTACATCCCCGCGGGGAGGGGAGGGGATCTGAGAGGGGAAGCTTCATATCTCGCTAATCTGTATATCTTTCTTCTTCTTTCTCTGTCTTGCTTTTAAAGCTTCTCATACACTGATACTTGCACATAACGGATGCCAGGTTACTACCATACAAGATTAGATATTCACTATTTCGTCTGATCCCCTGGGGATCCCCAGGGGATCACCTCACATTTTCAAAGTTATTTATCTTCCTGAAAACTCAATGAAAATGCTCTAAAATTGTACTGTGGATATACTACGGCAATGCTAAATATGTTTATAGTAGAAATAAGTAAAATCACAGGATATCGAAATCTTCGGTAATCCCTGGATCGCGAGCCAGGGATTATCGAAAAAAATCAAAATCTTCAGATTCCATTTCTTCGGTCGAAGACATGCTCAGAAGTATCGTAGTAAATCTTCAATACAATTTTGCGGCGTTTTCATTGGTTTATCAGGAAGATAAATGACTTTGAAAATGTGAGATGATCCCCTGGGGATCCCCAGGGGATCAGACGAAATAGTGAATATCTAATCTTGTATGGTAGTAACCTGGCATCCGTTATGCGCAAGTATCAGTGTATGAGAAGCTTCAAAAGCAAGACAGAGAAAGAAGAAGAAAGATATACAGATTAGCGAGATATGACGCTTCCCCTCTCAGATCCCCTCCCCTCCCCGCGGGGATGTACGTGCATACGGGCCTTAGAAAGAGAGAAGAATACACTTTGATTCAACTGGTTTGGCGGCTGGAAGGCGGGGTTTCGTGACCTAATTAGAGCTAGATAATGATCAGAGAGCATGCGCGCGAGCGGCTCTGATTAGGTCACAAAGCCCCGCCTTCCAGCCGTCAAGCCAGTTGAATCAAAAGTTACACAGAGTCCCAATACAGCTTCACAAAAATACCTTAATATTTGCAGGAGGAATCCATCTTAAATAGCATTCGTTCCACAACTGCACACTTATTATTGATCTGGGTGGACGAATGATATCTTCCGTCAGGTTAGTTTCTGCAAGCCAGTAATCATAAATGAAACTCAACACAGTTACGGAAATCGACATAAAGACTTACCATAAGCATTCTGTACAGTTACGGCAGCCATGTTCGTGACATTCTCGAAAAGTCGTATATAATTCTCCTGAAAAAATCGCTCCAGCGGGAAAGGGCCACCGCATTTTCGCATTCCTAGTTGATCCTGATCAGCCACAGAAGAAGCCGCAAACGCTGGTACCATTCCAGTCAGCGAAAGATCCCACAACGCAATCAGCAAATGGTGGGAATATGTGAACCTGAATGAAACCACATTTTTGCCAAACACTGGAATTCCCAGCCAAGGCTCACAGTTCACTCTAGTCCTACCGGACTTTCAACATACTGCATAGGGTAGAGACGAATGAGCTGAGCGACGCAATCGAGGAAGAGGAGGAACGTGGGCGTTATTTCTTCTTCACCGTTTTCATTAGAATTTCCGAAAAGACGTTGCGCAAATGGATGGCCAAGCGCTATCCAGTCCTTCGCGATAAGCGACTCTAACCCTGTATAGCAAAAATTAAACAAGCGCACTTGTTTATCCAAAACCAACCTAGGGGTTCACGATAATAAGAATCGCAACAAATTTGAATGATGCTGGAGACTACAGCAGACGCGTCCAGTCCTTCAGTTTCTAAAATCTGCATGAAATAAGCATCAAATTGGAAGAGAAAATGACGAGACAGCAACAGATATTCCTATGAATGAGTAAAGCCAACAGAATGAAGGTACCAAATCTGAGTAGGGTTTAAAACAGTACCATAGCGAGGTTCTAGCTACATGACTGCCCAGTCCCGCTAGGAAAGGTGTGTTCCAAAGCGAGAAAACTGCTCTAGAAGGTGGATATTGTTGGTCGCCACGCCCAAAGAGTTCTAAAAGGGACAAGCCCGTCAAGACTCCATAATACATATCGAGAATGTGTTCTTCACAATAAAGGCGAATTTTTATTTTTAGGTATACTGCATCTAGTTTCGGGTTTATTATTGAAAAACCCAGGCTGATGGGCGTGGCGATCCCAGCAGCATCCATTTTAACGACTTTCTCCTTCAGAACACAAATCTTGCAGCGGCACGTCTTCAAGGGCCTTGCTCTTGTACGGGATCAAAATCTCTCAATCTGAGATTTGGGTGGACGGTGCCTTTACAGACACCAATAGCTTCAAAAGAATTCGGCCAGAGATTTCCCATTTTCTGTATGGATTTATCGATACTAGCATATATTTGGCTGGGAATGAAAATATTACAGCAAGAAAAAATTGCACGTTTGACAGACATAATTCCAAAGAAAGTTATGATTGAGAATCGACTTACCGTATATAATGACAGATCGTCCACGGGTTAACCATTCTACACCTTCAGCCGCTTTCACTAAGCACTTGCTGACCAAGTGCAGCCATCCAGTGTGATTTATCCGCGCTAACCAATCTTTGTCACGAGAGGCAAATTGCTCATAAGAGTCTGGAAACAACAATTTTATCATGATATTCGTCTAAGCTGATCCAAAACTTAGTCTGAGTATGAGAAGCTTCACGAAGGTTCAGACAGTAGAAAGAAAAAGTAAAAACCAAAGAAGTTTTGGAACTAATATAGATCAAAAGCACTTACCAACAGAACAGAGCCTACGAAGTCGCCCGTAGGCTGCTGAGATTTTCATTGGGCTAGTATCGTCATTGAGCACCAGACTATGTGGTTCCAAATCCTCCGAGCCGGTAGCTCTGCTGACGTATTTAGCAAACCTGCACATTTATGAGTTCAAATGACAGATAGTCATTATTATCGAGTCAATATTTGCAGTGATAACCACAAACTCACGAACACTTTATTGAGTTTTGGTGCTTCCCAATTTTCGTCGAATTTTGAAGACCGTAGAAGAGATACACCAGTTGAGAGACGCGCCCATACCCATATCTGATACACATACTGAACTGATGGCAGCACTGATTACACCACCCAAATTGAAATGAATTTGGTACGATAGGCCCCTAGGTAACTGAACCGGCCATGTCTCGCTGCAAGAATGAAGCCAGATGGGAGAAAGCCCCTGGAAGGTGGAAGCGGCGTGGTCGCTCCGCCCATCAACGTGGGCGGTCTGAAGATACAATTTCATTTACTCGTATATGTCCAAAATAGTCAAAAACCTGCCTATGATTAGAACTATCGGGTTTTCGACATGTTTGGGCACATCTAGGTTTTCTGAATATGTATCTTCAGACCACCAACGCTGATCGGCAGCAACCATGGCCGCTTCTTCCTTTTAAAGGCAGTTCCGGGCAAAAAGTCAATTTTGAGATTTTGTGCTTACCTGGGCCTATTCACTATGCTGAATCCCAAAATCCACATTGGAAAGCGCAAAAATGGCAAAAAAGGGCTCTAACACTGGAGGGAAATAAGCAAGTGGGCGGAATCCTCGAAGTGAATTTCGCAGTCCCAGCTTCTGGAGCGATCTTCCCAATTTAGCGCCCTGAGATCTACACCAGCCAGGTGGAATGCATGACTTGAAATCGGAACCGGGAGGATCGCTCTAGAAGCTGGGAGCGTGAGTTCACAGTCGGGAGGACCCCACCCACCTGCTGATTTCCCTCCCGTGTTAGAGCCGTTTTTCGCCGTTTACGCGCTTTCCAATGTGGATTTTCGGATTCAGCATAGCGAATAGGCCCGGGTAAGCACAAAATCTCAAAATCGAGTTCTTGCCCGGACACTGCCTTTGAGGGCGATTTCCTCGCTTTGGGATCCATCTTTTGCAGCGGGACTTGGCCTTTTTTCAAGGAGCCCCGCTATGGTACCGTTATATTTCACACCCTCGTTCTTAGTGGGCAATGCCTTAACGAATCGCAGCGGGTATGATAAAACTCACCGGAAATCGACTAAGTGTCCAATGTTCAGCCATTCTACTCAACTCGTAATTTGTTGTGTCGCCTGGTACCACGAAGTATTTGGGATAGCTGAAATGACGCATAGAAAGCAAACATAACAACACCAGAAAACAACGAGGACCACCTCTTGCATAGAAAATATTGCCGTGGACCCTGGAGCTGACTCGCAACCCGCCAGTGATAGTTGTTACGAAGTCCACAGCGTTCCAACTCAGCTTCCCATGATTTGGTATCATTAAATTGCACTGAATATATTGAAAAATACTAAACAAACTTCTCATTTTAGAAATGTAGTCGACTGCAATAAATTTAATTAAAAAAACTCACAACTAGAGCACCATTCTCGTTCAGCACCTGCTTGTATTATGTTTTCAATTTTGTGTGGTCGGGAAAAGAATAAAATTTGATTAAGAAGGCTAGCAGCATGCTGGGATTCTCGTAAGTCGATAGTTACAACACGAAAATCCTAAAAAAACTAAACTTCGTAAGAGAAGTAAAGACCAAAATGGGCACCTTCAGCTGCAGACGAATCGAAGACACAATTTCCAAACTCGAAAGAGACTTTACCACGTGAATGAACTTCTTCTTGAAAAATGACGACTGATTCTCTGAAACTAAAGCCATGCATATAGACAATGAAGCACAACAGCTTTACAACATCAAATTTTGAATATTCGCTTACTTCTAACGGGTTCATAATGGAGGGAGTGTATCGAACATAATGGGATGTCCCACTGCTCATTGAAAACTTTAAATCGAGCCGGCAAAGCGCTCTAAACGAGGTTTTTGATATTTCAGGTGAACATATATAAGGGATAAAATTGCTATGATGACCTCTGTCTTCGGCGATGATTGGAACCGCAATCGAAAATTTGTGCACACTACCCGTCCAAAACCATTTTCGGTAAAAGGCCAAACGAAGAAGCAATTCTCGCAAAATGCACACTCGATCTCTCCTGCAAACAAGATGCTATTTTGGAATGACACACAACAACACAAAGATAGTTATGAGAAGATTATTCAATATCTTAAAAACATCATTAAGATGATAGAAGGCAAATAAAAACGAGGTTATTAAAAACGCAAGAAATCAGATACTCACCTTCTAACAGATCATGAGAGCTCCCAGGTGTAGGTAGGTCAGTTCCAATTCGGATTTCGGTTGTCGGCTTAGGCTGCAAACATACATTTTGAAGCTATATGATCACACAAAAGCTGTAATGCAATCCCACCATCTGATGGCATTCCATCCATCAAAACATTCATGCAATATATTGCACTTGACAGATATACATTACATTTCGCAGAAAACATTTTGATAGAGATTCACCTACTTCTTTGATTTAGCAAGAAAGAAAAGAAAGAAAGCAAGAAGCAAATATTCAATTCATTTTATAAATTTGCCCGCAAAATCTGACAAATATGGGATTCGATGATCGATATGCTTATGCAATAAATGGCAAGCAAAACGAAAAGGAAACCTGTAAAAACAAATAAAAATTTTGAAAATAAACGCTTGAAAGAGATAAATATTCAAAAAAAGGTTGCTCAAAATCAAATCTATTTGATAGCTTTTTTAGCGCAGGAGAGGACAAGAAAAGACTTACCGTCATTGAAGCAAACAATGACGAACTTGGGCGCTCCGACTTTATAGAATTGTCTTTTACGACTAACTGTTGACTCATCATTTGATGGTGTGCGAAGTGTTAATCTCCGCGTAATCGCAAATTGTGCATCAGCTAGTTTTCCGATAACTTTACAATGCACACTGTGCAAGCTCATCAACATACGTTTCCTTTTCATTATCAATATTTCCCTAGCAACACCCACACTTTCAGTAAGATTTGATGTAGTTTTGAAGCTTCTTTACTACCAAGGTTTGCTTCGCCGCATTTTAGGTAATCCATGGACGATAAGACTGACTTTTCTATGCTATAAACTTTGATTACAAGAGTTATAAATACTTATTTTGACTGCTATAGACTATTTCTGTACTTATGTTAGGGAGCAATGACGAATACGGTAATGAATGTATAATCTACTCTATGACTACGAGACTCGAGGCCGCTTCATATACATCGTCTAAACAAGTTGGAACTTGCTCTTTTCTGTTGCCAGGTGGCAGATAATTCCTAAAAGGAATACATTATAAGTGTGGACTTGCTAAAACACGATTAAGCTTGTTTAGATAATGTGTGCAAAACGGTCTCAAGTCTCCCTGCCACAAAACAAGTGATAGCTGCTATCAATATCTGATTCATTTGATGTAATCAAATGAGAATTTTTTTCAGAGTGATTCATATGATATGAATTTAGCATTGTTTCTTTGACATAATTTTGTTTTACAACTCTCATTAGATAAAAGATAAGGGTCGTCTGCGCATTTCCTTTTTGTTTGTAGACAAAAATACTCAAGCGACGTTTATGGCATACCAAAAAACCAACAGGAAAATTTATCTTTGCATTTTTCCCGCATGGGATCGGTGGTGAGAGAATTAAATGTAAAAGAACAAACGAATCAGACGACAACGGCCACTGCATAATGAAGAACGATATACAAATTTTTGTGCAAATGCTCAAGGGAACCACAACTTAGCGGCGAGTATAGACGACTCACTGCCTGGAGTGAGTGCACATGGCTATGTGCAACTAATATAATTCAACTCTGAGAGGCGCAAACAGTGAGAAACGAGAAATAGCTTCAAGAGACGCCGAAACTTCTGCAGCGGCACCAGTTTCTGCGTGTTATGAATAACCACGTATCTAATCGCTCTCGTACTTGCAAGCTCTTGTTCATCAAATTTTATTCTGTTCCACACTGGAGCATTCCCAGATAAAACTGCAGTCTTCCTCGCGATGTTTTTTACGATAATATGTTAGTAAATATACAAAATTTGTTATCGACTGTCACAAAATGTTCTCTTATTACAAACCTTTGTATGGTCAAACGATTGATCCTCGATGTAGGAATGAAATGTGGTGTTGGTGGCTGACATTATGCCAACATCGCTGTTGCACTTCTCACCTGATTGAGTTATGAATGCTTTGGGAAACAGCCACCCCAACATCTCCAAGAAGAAAAGTGTGGATGAAGACCAACAATACTGAACAAAGAAACCTATATAATATTTCTTATTGACATCCAGTTTACAAACACAACATGAAACACTCAACCGTAGATTATTCAATTAGTGCATATACAACCGCGAGCAGCAAATTACAAAAGTTACAAAAATAAAAAAAAAGAAGAAAAACAGACAAGGCATTCGGGATGACATATCAGTACATACGAAAAGATATGCTTTGAGCCAGAAAACATGATGTTTTGAGCATCTCACTGACACACTTATGCAAGTGATTATACTTACTATCTATATTATTATCAAACATTCTGTTGAAAAGAAAACTCATAATCTGACAAGCTCCAAAAATAAGTAACCAAATGCATTTGGAGTGAAATAATTCGGGCGAAGCACCAATATTATGTGAGAAACCGATACATATATCTATGAATTGGTCACTTTTTTGGAGCGAGAATTGGTCTCAAGTGATGAAAAACAATCGATATATTTATGACAAGCAAATTGAACTGTGTTATTGCTTAGAAAAATCCGTACATCGGGAGTGAAATAATCTCAACAAGAAAAGCCCGCAGATGTCAGTGAGAAAGCATGCGGGAAATAGTTATTAATCGTTGGAGAACCTATAATTATCAATCTTAGAATATATATTACCACTTTTAAAAGCGTGAAAAAAAACATGACAAAAACAAAAGACAGGAAAAGAAAGAAGTCACCTGTCCAAATGATGGCCTATCTTGTGGCTGTAGTGCCCAAGCATCATGCATTATACGTACAACATCTGCTGGACATCCTTCTGGAGCTTCCATGCGATAACCCCGTTCTATATGACGTACTACATCTTGTATAGGCTGAAATGTTAGAAATCAACAAAGTTCTGTATGTACAATCTTGTAAAGTTAGTAAGAAAAAATGTAAGTGGGACTACAATAGGAAATTTGGAGGCAAACCTAATTAAATTGATGGTTCTTGACATGCAGGTAAAAACTCTCAAGGTATGCCTTTCTCCAACGAAGATGGCGCCAAGAAATCAAATTTTCCGACTTTGGCTGGGTAGTGAACGAAAAAAAAAACTCCGAGCTTGTGGAAAACATTAAGTTTCACGAACTAAATGAACACCGAAAATCGCACACTATACTTTTGACTAAACCAATACCATGCAGTTTAATCCCAAAACATTTTTGTTGTTGATGTGTTAGAGAAGGGAGAACGCCAAATAAAAATGTTTTGTTTGTACCAGGTTGCGCATTGGGGTCAATAGTAAAACTTGATACCTTTGTATCAACTGATAGTAAAATGAGAAAAGAAATCCGATAAATGAGAGTTATCACGTAAAAATCATGTATAGTTGAGGAAGGTAATCGCAAATGCATCGTCAATTCTGTATCTTTCAAATGAAACGGTCAAATAAACTTGGGATAAAATTATTAGAAGTTTATAAAAATGTTAGTGAACTTGAAAAGGTATAGAAAAACACGCACACACAAGCACACGGACGACACATACCGAACGACCATCGACACCCTGAACAGAAAGAGACCCAATAGACAACCTGGTACAAAACAAAACAAAAACAAAAAGAAAAATAACAGCAGCCTGAGAAGAGATGCAAAACTCACGATGCGAGGATAGGGTACACGACCAAATGAAAATATCTCCCACAATAACACGCCGAACGACCACATATCACTTTTAGTCGAAAAATTCTGAAAAGCAACTGATAGCGATACCGAAGTAGTCGTGCACGAGCTGGTAATGGCTGCTATCACATTACATTGTACTTACACTATGTCGCAGAGCTTCAGGCGCCGTCCATTTGATAGGGAATTTACCAGATGCGTTGTCGTTTGCCGGCGAGTTCGCTTTTTTGGCCAACCCAAAATCGCTCACTTTCGCGACGAGCTCCTCGTCCAGTAAAACATTGCGAGCTGCCAAGTCACGGTGAACGATTTGACGTTGCTCGAGGTAGCACATTCCATCGCATATATCACTAAATAACGCAGTAATTTGATATGAAATGAAAACAAAAATATATAACGAACTCTACCAAATAAGAAAACAACAAGTGAATAGAACGGTACTATGCACTAAAGCAGTTGATTGAACTTACAAAATATATGCGGTATTAGAAATGTTTTTTTGCAAATGGTGCCTATCCTCAAATGGACATGAACAAAATGCTTTTCTGACTTGACTCTGTGCTGGTATAAGGAATATTGCTCTAATTTTTTCCCACTTCATATCGTCCTCCAGAGGATCGATTTCTTCCACAGAAAATGTGTATTTTGGAACTTCCAAATCTTCTTTCTTTATTATTTAGACAAATTAGACAGCCCCTATTCATCAGGAAATCTGCTGCGGATCCGAGCAATGATAAGGTGTTTGATGTGAAAACGCGGAGCCTAACCAGCCAGCAACCGTGATTTATATGACCACAACATGTCGCATCTTATCTATACCGCGGACAACTGTTCCTTTGCGCGGTGACAATAAATCCCAAGCGCTACGAAAAATAGGAGACGTGGATAACGAATAATGCCGCTCATATATTAAACAGCCGCTGCTGATCAAGATAAAAATTCATACACTGGGGTTTTCACTATGTAGCCGGCGGGCCGAAAAAAAGTTATGTATACATTAGGCCCCACTTACATTGCAAACTGGATGAGCTGCATTTTATCCAGTTGGTGACGACCACGCGAACGCAATAAATCGACGAGATTCCCATTCGCCATGTACTCGGTCACCATGTAGATGTTCGTGTCATCCAGTACGACGCCGATTAAGGCAACAAGGTTACGATGGCATAGTCCTCTAGAATAAACCGATTATTGCTAGGATTAGTAGTAAAAAGTACTTTTTACCAAGCAACTAATGCAAACATCGTTGTAATTTTAGAAAACGAAGACCTTGACTGAACATCTATCTAGGCCATAACGCGCACGGAGAAATAAATCACTTAGCATTTCAAGCGAAAATCAATGATGAAACGAGCAAAGAAGAAGCCAAAAAAGCGAAGGTGAAAGTACTTACACCATAAAGCGTGACTCATCTAGAAGTGAGTCGACTAGCCCATTTCCGTGCCTCTTCGACACTTTTACGGCTACTTTTTTATCCTTGTAATAACCTACGAGCACATCTGGAACACAACACACATGAAAGAGGGTTCAAACGACTTCGCGCAGATGTCTTACCCCCAAACTCTCCGTGCCCTATAATATCTCCTAATCGAATATCACCGGATGGTATGACAAGTCCCGCTTTCAAAAACGCGCTCGTTCGATCCTCAATGTTATCGCTAGTAGATGGGATACGATAGTTCTCACAAATAATAGGGGTTACAAGACGATGACAAAGCCCGTCAGCATCTCGTTTGTAGTGCTAAAAAATGAAACATGATAGGTGTGCGAATTCAAGGTCTTGGATATCCGTTTGGCGTACAGAAACTAGTTGAGTGAGGTTCGCGAAGAACTCCTCGTTGTCGCACGTGATTTGCCCTCCACTTTGGTAAATGCGATAGTGCTCTACCTAAAATATGATATTGGGCACTTACACCTCAAAAAAAATTGATGAACGGTGAAATGCTAATATTAAAAAATGCAAATGAAAGAGAACTGAGTGATGATTAAATTAAGAAACGTCGGATAACATATCAAACTTGCAACAGCAGAAAAAACTTTCTTTGATATTTTATATAGCTAGGAGATGAAAAACTGCCCCTTACAAACCTTTAGTTGAAACAATAAGATAACATTACCCATATTTGTCAAACATTCAATATAAAGAATGATACGACAATTAATTTTCAAGTTAAAAAAATCGAGCAAACGTATCAGGGATGAAAAACCCACCTTTCCTCGATATGCCATAGATAATGTGTAATCACCGGGAAAATTCGTAGATTCTCTCACTAAAAATGTTCCATCAGCTCGTTGATGTAGCATTCTGTAACAATAGGACTCCAAGAGAGAAAGCAAAGGATCGGAACATCTGGAAACTGCAATTAGGGCCGTCAAACGGCTAAATATCAATGAAAGCAGCTCTCGTTGAGCGAACTTTCAGCGAAATGCGCTCAATCGCAGCTTTTTCTGACGACCTCGCCAAGGTAAGACAGAAATTCGCTAAATTCACCATGAAAACGCTAGCGAATTAGCACTTTAATGGAAACATGTTTCACTGCGCGTGCACTATAAATTCGTGCCCAAAATCGATGATCGAAATAAAGGCTTTCTTGGTCATCGAAAACTCCTGTCCTCTTGGTTCAATACAGGTTTTTTTTCCAAACGTTAGAGATCCCTTCACCTAAGTATTAAAACCATACCGATCAAGAAATGCAGAGAAGCTGCTGATTCAGCAACATGTTATCAACGAAATACACCGACATTTACGAACGCCGCGATAAAGAAAGTTCGCAGACTTTGTCCTATGTATTCTGATTCCAAAAAAGTTGTTGACTAAAGCAATTATGCCCGGATGTCTGATGCCTATACGCTCAATGCTGAGTTGTTCGAAAATGTAACCATGTCAGTAATACATCCTCCACGCCTACTACTAACGTGACTGATTACATGTGCAAACTCAAATCCAGCTGACCATCAAATCGGTGGTTCTCTAGGTGTCATGAGAGCGGCATCGATGTCCAGTATGTAGCCATAGAAAATTATCGGAAGACCGTACGCGCGCGGCTTAATTCGCAGCTCAATTCTACTTGATTACTTATCAGCGAGTGAAATCCCAGTGACTAATGAGTTAGCCAGTCACTCAAGTACAGCCATCTGAATTGGGATTGTGAAATTTTGACGCATACAGTAGCGAGGCCGCCAACCAAGAAGTAGGCCAAATCCCGCTGCAAAAATTGCATCCCTGGACGAGAAAACCGCTCCAAAAGGTGGAAGCTTTTGAGGTCGCCATGGATGGCCTGAAGGTAGTGAGCCCGAAAGTATACTAGACAGTACTTAATTCGAGAATCCATAAATCGTGGTAAACACATTCATGCAATATACCAATAGACTACACACGTTGATGGGCGTGGCGACCCTTTCAGCATCCGCCTTCTAAGGCGTAATTCTCGCTTCGCAATACACCTTTTGTCACGGGACCGGGCGGTTACTTAGTTAAGGATCTCGCCCAACCGCAAATGGGGTGGACGGCTGCCTGAAAAATTAGATCCGATGGGCACACCGTATGCTCTGATGCAAACAAACTTCCAAAAAAGAAAAGAAAAGACCATTGTGGTTTTTTGACGGAAATGCCACACACAATTTGATAGTCTTCTTAATGTTCAATTGGCATAATAAACAGCATCTTACACTTTCGAGTACCAGATGTTCATTTTCATCTAAAAATATCTTATTGTTAGATTTCGTGACCAGACAGAAACAGGGCCACGATGCAAAACACGCGCCTACGTACATCAGGAATGGGGGTAGGATGCAAGAACAATTCTGCTTCAAACGCAGCATCTTCTGCAAAGATTCTGCTTAGGCAATGAGGCCAACAAAGATGAAAAGAGGAAGAGTTGGATGTTGACATGGTCAGACCATGAAAATCACAAGACAGCACTTTTACAATTTACACTAAGCCCCACAAGCCATGTAGGTGTTAGCTATATTTTGCCAATCAAGCTAAAAACAATCCGTGCTAAATCAACAATTATTAGCACAAAATTACGCCAGCGAAAAGTACATAAAAGATTTTGCCATTTATCTAGTTCAAGTACGTACCATAAATAGCACTTAAAGTTCATGTCGCGTAAAGAATTAGAACCAAACAAAAGCCTACCTCTCGGTGGCCTCGCGGCTGACGTTCGAGTGGAACCATGGCATATGAGGGGTGGCCACGACTTCGCGTTCTCGATTTCGAACGCCATCCATCGATGAAGGCTGGAGAAGAATTGTCTCGTACAGTTTGCCTGCGTGTGTGTCTCTGCTGCTGCTGTATGAATATATTTCTACGCTCCTAGCTAGGATTTGTACAGAGCGGAGCCCATTCGATGTCTGAAATGGGTGCATATCGAACAGTTGTCACTATAGCCATTGTTTAGATATTGAAATGGATTATATGTTATACTCTGTCATAAAAAGCAACCGTGATAGATTTCATCCACAAAATCAAAGCATATCGCCTGGATACGTTAAAAGGAAACGTTGAAAGCACCGTCCACCCAACTTTTAGGACCGAGTAACTGTCTGGATCCTGTAGAAGTATATACAAAGCGAGGAAATCCCTACAGAAAATAGACGTGACAGAAGTCGCCACGCCCATCAACATGAGCGGTTTAAAAGGTGATGAGCCCAAAACTAAACCCCCCAATAACAAAAAAATGTCGAAATTCCGCCTATCAGTGTGAAAAACATAATTTCGACATTTATAAGTATGCTAAGATGTTTCAGGCTTATTACCTCTAAACCGCCATGCTGATAGGCGTAATGACCTCTGTCGCATCCAACAATTTTCTCGCTTTGATATGCTTTTCGCAGTAGGATTAAACTATCGCTTATTTCTCAAATCTCAGATTAGGGCGCACGGTGCCTTCAATATAGGCTCGGCATGAAGTCAAAATGTAACTGTCTTTCTTTTCTTTGTTGGTCAAAATTACAAGTTTTAAGGCTAGAATCTTGAGTTTCACATCCGAAAAACAATCCCAGCACTGCATCCCACATTTCTGACCATATCGTATTTCTGCTGGAAGACTCCAAAAAAGGCATAGGATTGCTTTCCTTATAAGTAAGATAATATGAAACCCCGTTTCCGATTCCTCAGCCTATTTTGATCTATCTCCGTTACAGATGAAAAAAACCGCAGCTAAATTTAGAAATAATTTTTTTCAATAACAGCGCTACGTATATTTTGTCAAACTAGTGAACCAGTAATGGTGCTAGGTCGTATCCGCGCGCCTCGGGATCGCACCGCCGTCCCGCTATTTGATGATTTTCAAATTGGCGTTACGATTCTTTATATATTAGATAGATAGATTCAATACGACTTGTGCGTGGAGAAATAGGATGTTGTAATTGAGTAATGGGGATTTGTGTTTCGTTATCAAAACAGATGTTTCGAAGAACTGGAAGAAGCAGACTGTCATGAACGAGAATGTTCAAGAATGAATGAGTCATTTAATGTTTGATAAAACACTTCCAAACAAGAAAAAAAAAGTAAAAAGACTCACCAGATGTGAAGCACCTTGCTCAGCTCCACATGAGCGATAACTACGATACCTGTAATAGCGTAGCATTCAACTTTAACAGAATGAGCCTTACAACGAAGCGGCACGAACGAGTTATTTCACATGGTTTACAAAGCGTAGAGACCGATAACAATGCTTGGAAATAAAAATGTGTTCGATTTCAGCATTGAAAGCTCAAGAGAAAAACTTGCAGCGTACGTGTACGCTAGGCTTGCGTTGTAACAGTTGTCGGGGCAAGAACACGGGGAAAGAAACAGAAAAATGAGAAATGAGTATCGGCTGCACTAGTGCAGATGCACCTGTGCAGCTTGTAATTCAATCCTAAGCTTCAAAAGATGGCGGGAATTGATATCAATCTAAACATATGGAAAAAATGGAAGAAGCGAATTCAAAAACAGAGGGGCTACTTTCCCCTCATTTAGGATACTGAAGAGATAAATTTTAGAAGCCTATGGTGAGAAGTTGCAAAAAAAATAAAATGAAGGTTACACACCACAGTGGCGCTCATTGAATTACTACTAAGGATAGTATCGCTGTCGGATAGAGTCTTTACGGCATCATTTTCAGTAGAAGGACAAGTCACGGTTTTTCAGCCGTTTATAGCAGTAATAATTTTCAAGGCGGCATAAACCCACTTTACAGAGCGCAATTTGTTCGCGACGACGAAATGGATAGGATATGCGCATTTCCAACAGGAAGTGGACTTTTTTTTTACAACAAAACCATCTTTCTCCAGAAAAAGCCAATCGCGTCTCTGGAAAATCCCATTATAGAACAAGCCAATCCATTTTCCTGCAAAATTGCTTCTAAAAAGACAAAGACGTTTGCAAGATAAGACGCTGCAGCCATCGCTACAAAGAATCTGGTGATGTCGTAAAATAGTACGTTTCAACAGATTTGATTAAAAAATACTGTTGATACACCATTCGAGTGTGAGAAAAAGGCGTCCAAGATCTCGTATTTCGTCCAAATTGCTGATGAAAATTCAGGACCAGCCAGACGAAATACGAGATCTTGAATGTCCTTTGATATCAGTATCCAATAGCACATCGGACTAAAATCCTTATTTTCTGAAAATATCGTAAAAACGATATTCAGTCGGAAAACTATGGACCATTAGCCCACGTAACTGCTTTCGAGACACCGACTTAACTTATAAGATCAAGGTCCGAACTGCTAGTAATAGCATTGGTTTTCCCTGACAAGGAAATGGCCAGAAATCGAAGCGGTCAATCCAAGCAAGCAGTATACCATTAGACGCACATAAAATGCTGACTTCGAAACTGTATTACACAACTGCTTAGCGCCTATGTGGGCGAGATTATGAGACTTTAAAGGTCGTTATTTGCTGAGGAATACAAAACGCAGATTTGGTAATACATAGCCATATTCGGCTAAATTCTGAGCCAAAACATGCAGCTAGGTTAACTATATTCTTGAAGCCTAAAGGTAAGCTGAAAGTGCAGTATTGTGCTCCATTTGAAAACCTTTATGTACAGTTTTTTCGCAATAAAACTGCCCATAACTTCGTCCATAAGTGCGCTAAGCAGAGATGAAATACAGATTTAAAATCAGCGGTGAATGCTGCATCGAATGGTATTCAGTAAGCTTTGGTTGGCCACTTCGACTTCTGACCATTCTAAGTATCCACGATGTAATCGGCAGCTCCCAATAGCAACTGAATGCTTTGCTTGTAAGAAGAAACGTCTTTCTTCCAAATAAACCGCTCCTTTCACAAAGTACAAGTTGTACTCTTGCTCGATTCAGGAGTCTATTGCAGTGGAATCACGGACTAATGGCGCTTGCGCAAGTCAGAAGCGGGACATTTGGGTTGAAATGAGGGTATTGAGATCACAAGAAAATATGGATCCCAAACCAAATTATGCCCTGCGAGAGCAAAGAATCGCTTCCGAAGCGAGAAATTGACTCCCCAAAAGCTCATTTATGAAGTTTATCGATGCACCATTGGTATTTTATTTTTGGTAATTCATTCATTGTGCATCACCGAAAAAACCAGCACTACAGCGGAAAACTTGTTTTGTACTTCATCGTGTCCGCAACTTGCTCAAGGTATGGCTTGGTACATGATGAGAGTAGCTTGAGCCTGCATCTTATGATCCCAAATAGGCAAATAACTTGGTGTGGCTTTGATAAAGTACACTTGCCCTACCAGTCGTCAAACTGTGACTAAAGACGGCATTGACTCGAAGCTGCAAACATGGGCTATTGCATTTCGAAACTTGAACACACTTCCAATCTAAGAGCATAAAACACTTTCAAAAACCTGCTAGCACTTCACACAACTCCTAATTGCATAAGGTACAAAGCAAAAAAAATACTTAGCAAAAAATACCCAGTGTATCAGCAACGATGAAGTGGTCAACGTACCTTACGTATGCCTGTCATGAGGAAATGAAATCTGATTCCATATTATTTTCCAAAACATCGCCGCTACACGAGTGTAACATGGCAGTCTTTGTAAACGGAGCTGTATAAGACAATTGTTTGAGGGATGGCATATCAAGATAATCGAATGATTTGATTTCCAGATGCAAAGCAATGTACTGAGAAAGCGATCGATCAAATCATAGAGACAGCCAACGCCTCTATGACTAAACAACCCTAAAAATATGGAGACGTTTTCTTGCCTTCTCAAGATGTTACCACTTGAAGATTATAGAATGTCGATGAAGTAATGACAGAAGAAATGCGCCTAGAAACGTTTGCACCAAGACAAGTATGGAGAAAGGTTAAGTGGTGTTACTTCTTAACAACACTTCTTAGAAATAGACTTCACTTTTAATGATGAGATGCTATGAAGAGTGTAAAAGACTACGTTAAGAGTGCCACGACGTTTTCTTCATTATTATTAGAAAAATTACGGAACTAAAAGACAAAAATCTTGATGTTCCCGTGATAAAGTGACAGGTCAGTCAAAGAAACAGGAGATAGCATGACAGGTGACATGTGTAAAGATGACTAATAACGAAAGGTCTGCAAAATAATTAGAGAGTTAGCCAGTTATTTCTGGATAGAATGTGAAGCAAGAGGAAAAAGGAGAAAATGGAACACATCTGTGCTCCAGATAGCACACGAAGATTAAGATTAATCGATCGTTGCATGGTAAGAAAAATACATGTAAATCTTGATGATAAAAAAAAATAAGTGTGAATCTTGAGTACCTTCAATGAGCATCTCATAACAAACCTGTTGTTTGCTTGAATTAGGAGTAATCCATGTGAGAAATCAACAAAAGAATTTGTCACTCAAAAACAGAAGAGAGAAAGTAGGAAAGATAGGAGAAGAAACGCCAACATTTGTAAGGTTCTTCTGCATGTTTGTGAGAAAACGCAGAACTCAGCAAATGCTTGCGAAAGCAAAACTAATAAAATTCTAATGAAAGGACGAGTTCAAAACTTTAAAGAGGACAAGCCAAACCACGCAGACTCACACGCATTTCAACATAAAAGGATGACTCAATGCTAAATTAAAGAGAAAATCGATTGGACGTACCTCCAATTGCGGAAACTGCAACGTAACAGGCTTAGAAACATTCCGAACACGAAGAGAAAAAATAAAAAGTATCAGTCCAGCATGGGAAGTTCGCGCACGGCTAATCCATACGTCTTGGAAGATGCTGCGCGATTTTTTACGGTCTTGAAGTGCAGCCGCGTCGCAGCGGAGTCGCAGCGCGGCCGTATTCACTTCCCGTACACTAGCAAGTCAACAACACGCTGATCGTTATTATAGATTCGTTTGGGCCGTGCCTCTCAGCAGCCCCCCGTCGGGGTTTCTGGCATCGAGGTCCAGTCGATAAGTCTAGATATTGTCCATTCACCTTCTTCAGTTGAAGGCTGAAAGATTCGTATCGAAGAAAAAATCGAAAACCTTCAAAATTGAGTAGTTTTCACCTTCTCAAGATGGAAAACAACACTCAGAATCAACATTTTGCCTGTATTTTGCGAGCACTTCGAATTATGGGATGCGATAGGTCATGAGGAGAATTTGCCAGGAGCTACCATAGCTCAAATTTTCATACGTTGTCAAAAATTCTGACTTTCCGGCTTTTTTTAACTTCTTATTTTTTTTGTATTTGACGGCCATTATCTCCCTCACTTTCTGCTCCCTCTTATTTTTACCATTGTCGTGATTTTACTGTGCTTGTGACTCAATCACAAACCAACTTTTGTCATAAGACCTTGTTTAGCTTCAAAAACCGGTTCCACTTAGCATTATGATTAACTTGCTATACAAAACAAGCAGTTTAACAAGTCATACTAATTGATAACGCTGAAAAAGTTAACCCTGCCGCATTTGGCATTTAGTACCGCCTTGCGCGGCAGGCGCACGAACCGCGGACTGCCGCGATCGATCAGTATCGCGCGCCTGGCGCCGCAGGGTGCGTGCAGACGTCTGGCATTGTTGCGATTGTTGATGAAAATTTTGCTATCATTCAATATTTGTATATATTCTATTTTGCGGGAGGTGTAACTAGTTTCTGTGAGATTTTTTTTTCACACTATGAAAGCTTTCAGCCTGTCATCTCAATCACAATCCTTTTTTTCTGACTTTTAATTCATTACTCCCCATGACAGCCGTTTTTTATAGAATTCATTTATCCAATACATTCATTTTGCTTCCATCTTTTTTCCTTTTTCATCAGCACCCATTAACAATATGAAGCCGCATTTCTGTAATTACACAAACATCATGCATGAGATCAAAAACTGCGCACATGTTTCAGTCTTAAAGTACAACTTTTCTCAAAATCTTCATTGTCTGGACTCCAGACGGTCTGCACTTTCGGGATTTGTGACGCGCAATGTGTAATATCAGAAAGTGCGTTCTTTGTTCGTATTCAGAAAATAAGCAAGTAACATCTTCAATGACTTTACAGCGAATTTTGAAAAACGTAAAACTTAAAGTAACGTGACTGTTAAGTGTATATTTTCATCTACTCATCTATTATCTTCTTTTCATGTGATTGTATAGTAGATTTGATTTGAGTGTTCTCAGTTGCTAACAACATCTGCGCGTAAATGAATATCGTGCTTGTGAATGCGGGCAACTTGCTGGTGTCCTGCGCGCATTGACAACTTGCCGGTGATCTGCGCGTACCGACTACTTGCCGGTGACCTGTGCGTAGGAATCGGACATAAAGCGCGCAGTGCCATTGTCTACGCGCAAATGTTGCGGACAACGCAAGAACACTATATCAACGGTCAATTCTACAGCCTACGCCTAGCACGTCATTTATTTACTTTATTTTTTTTTTCTTTCAGTCATTTCTGCCTCTCGAATCACATGGAGGCTTTTAATGTGCTTTTCAGCTATTGCATCAGCCTTATCTTTGTATGATTACGTAAAGTTCATGGCTAGAACGGCACCACACGTCACTGTGTAATATTTTTTCGACAAAATCAATGCTTATAAAGAGAAATGTGCCATTGATGCATAGAAACCAAATCTGCATCGTTTTATTATAATTGAAGCCGGCTTTTTAGGCGAATATACTTTTATATCATCAAGATATCCATTTCCCGCATCCAATTATACCGGTTTCTATGTTTGTGGATTCTATTACTTCTCATAGCTTCGTCTGTTGTGATGGTAAATATATCACATTACCCAGCCGTAAATGATAGCTATGACATAATGCGATTCAATCATGATATCATGGTGTGTCTGGCGTTCAAGGACTATTTCCCGCCCAAAAGGTCCACTGGCTCCGATATCTCGTCCTTTTGCAGTTCGCATCGGCACGCGCAAGGAGCAGCTGTCCGGACCAAATCTCTAAGTGGCTGATCCCTTCCATGTATCTTCTAGAATTCACCTTGATGAAAAACCTACTTTCTCAATGTCCCTAAATTTGATTTTGTTTTGTACATCTGAATAGAGCATATCTTCTAGCTCCCGTTGTGTTGAGAGGATGAGTTCGCCAGAGAAACTTCTGAACGCCGCGTGAAAGTGCGCGAAAGAGGATAAATTCAAATCTCGCGCCAGATCATGGACCGTCTACGCATTTTGGCGCTAAAAACACGGCGCTACGGCGTGGTCTCGATGGGTCCTAGCACGATATCCTGATGTGATGCAAGAATGCGCAGAATACCAAATTGCATCTTTGCAGCCCTTCCCCCGTTACGAGGCTGAAGCGTGTTGCTTTTTTCGTCGGCAACTCGTAAAAACCCCTATTGTGGTAAACACGCAAATCAAGCGACAATTACGTCTTTTAATTGTTAGGAAACGGTAAGACGGCCTCAGTTCAGTGTTTTGGAGTGCGCAACTACTTAGAAAAATCGTAAATTGTAAGTGCTCGGTAATCGTCCTCAGTTTAATTGCGGGGGGAGGGGTTGTGAGGATTGTAGAAGCAAGTAGTCGTCTATGAAGTAGAAGAAAGATTCCCCCTTCTGACTGCCTTCAGTTTTGCCTGGTAGGCATGCCTATTAAAATAGCGAACCCATTGCGGCACGACCTATTTTATGCGCAAAATTACGACATACTTGTGGCTGGAGCGTGATTAAAGTGTTGTTTGGTGCATAGTTGTGTTGCAGCTTGGCAGCTGGGACTGGCTCCGATTTGTAGCTCGATCTTCGACAACTACCATGACTGAATTCATTATTTTGTACTACCCTTTTTCGTTTTCCCATTGTCAAGAGAACGCTGAGAGTGAATATAATTTTTTCTAATAATTTGCTTATTAGAAGAAATTACGATTTTGATAATGCCGACAATTTTTTGCACAATAGGAAATGGCTACGAATTCAAGCTGCGCACGGTTTTTTTTACGCGCGTACGTTGTTGGCAACGCAAGAACACGGTCAGTCATCAGATCCATCCCCACTGACTCGATGGTCAAGGTAGTCTGACATATTTGCTATCTACCTATCTATTCACCCCTGTTGCACTACGTTGAATGACAAAACTATTTTCTCAAACTCTCATCTTTTGGTTCATCCTTATAGCTTTTTCTGGAGTCGGCTGCAAAAAGGCCAAGCTAGCGTTGTGCCAGCGCCGTTAGCCGATCAATAAGGGGCACTGGCACGCGGCTGACACGGTGCTGGCACACGAGCAAATGTGGGCACAGCCTAAGTACTTTTTTTAGCTTTCTTACATTTTACATTGAACATACCTACCCTAACGCTATAAAAAGAAGATTTTCAACATTTGTCGGTATTCATGCATACAGTTTCAAAGCAATTGCTCATACTTCGTTTTATTGTCCCGCACGAGCTCTGCTTGCTTCCCGCTTACTTCCTGTTGCTATGCGCTGCGAATGCTCAGTTTTCGTTCTCATACTCAGTATGAATAAGTGCTCAGGAAGCTCCCGTTGTCTATAATTGTATGAAAATAGCCATGTTATGGTGAGAGATAATTCATGGCCTCTAGTAGGGCTTCCGTTCTAGGAATATTTTACATTCTTGGTAATTGCCGTTTAGAGCTCATATAATCTCAGCTTTGACGGTAGTTATCATGTTCTTGCGGTGTCGACAACACTTGCGCGTAAGAAATACGCGGTCGTTGAGCGCACAGTCTTAAGTTTTACGCCCCATGGCATGTTTTGACGCGCAAATATTGTTGTCAATGCGAGAACACCATCTAAGACGTCAAATCCATTTGACTATATATATCCATCAAACTCGTCAGCTCAATTCAATGAATTTTTAATTTTTTGGTCACTGTCGTCTGCGAAAGCCGCATAAAACCCGTGAAACGCTCGATTTCATGATTTGTTTGCCATATTTCTTCACATGCCGCGTTGACTTTTGCGATAAAAAGTTAAAAAAGTTTTGCTCGGCAGAGAACTTTCGATACGCGTCGCGCGTACGTGACTGTGAGCATATCGGAGCGTGTACTTTCGAATGTTTACCAACTTTGCCCCTGATCGTTTTTTGGTGCTTTGAGCGCTACAAACAATAAGTTTCGTTGAAGCCGCATATCTACGAGACAAGTGACGTCTGTTTTCTTCCTGGTACGTATAAACAATAATTTTTTGAATTTAACTAATGTATTTGGGGCTTATATTTGGTTGAGAAAGATGGGCGGGGGGGGGGGGGGGAAAGGAGAGGCACGGGAAAAGAAATGGATGGTTTAAGAAATAATGTTTTTATTCGAAGGGTATCGCTTAATATTTCCGAGCCGTTGCTCTCCCCTCCCCCTCCCCATCCCCCCCCCCCCCACTCCGCCTCCAGTGGTCCGTGCTGTGATGCGGAGAGAAGGATTGTCAGTTTTCTGGCATTCGAATTTAGCCGATTTTTTTCTTGTCTGTAAATTCCCCCCCCCCTCTTCTCCTATACTTCCGTCACTTCCGCGTTATTCTACATTATTGAGTTCGTCCTGTTAATATGAATTGGGAAAATATCAAAGCAGTATTGTTAAACACTTCATAAACTTTTTCCGAAGTTCATGGACATCAGCGTTGGGCAGGTTACCGATGGAAATTGAACACTTTCAATTTTGGAGTTTTTTTACGCGAACTCAGTTGATTGATGGGTCGGTGTATGATGCATTGTAGTCCAATTTCTTCAAGAATGAGTAAAAAAAAACCCGGCGATCCTTGCTGGAACCATGCTATCTAAGAAAGTGCATGAATAATATGTTTGATTTTGAGGCGTGCGCGGCGTCGGCTACGCGTGGTATGGGTCTTTGGCGGGGCTACAGTATCCTTTTGCGCACTAGGACCCTCATAACAAGCAAAATTGAGCAAGTTTTGCTCATTTTACTAACAAGTAAGTGTATTTTGCACTGGCGACGATAGAGACCGCTTGCTCAAGTCGATGCGAAGTGGTCACTCATGATCACACCTCTGTAGCTATGAAAGTGTAAACATTTGATGCTCCCGCCCCTCCCCTTCCTCCCTCCCGGAACCTAAAATCACCTGGTGGTTTACGGATTGCAGAAAGTAGGGAACTCTGTGCTCTTCTCCCATTTTTTGTTTAGTATGCAGTTACACTGTGTTTATTTTATGCGTCCACCAGCGATTGATTTCGTAACGCTAGTGAGATTTATTGCCTTATCGTGCCAGTAGAAAATAGAGAAGTCACCTGCTAAGTAGACTAATCTAACAGAAGCTGACATTTGGTAGTCGTTTACGCTGGCTCCTGTCACTTTTTACGAAAGGAACGGTGCATTATCGCTAATTCAACGTCAGACGCTGGCTTATACACACACACACTTTTGGTTCCAGTCATGTACTTGCGGCCAGTCATTTGCAGTGATAAAAGGCTTTAGCTATAATTGGTGTTGAGTTTTGGAGGCAAAAAACGTATTCCCTTCTATTCTATTTTTAAATGCTTGCTTTTCCGAAGAAGGACACAAGCGCGCCGCAGATTTGCAACTTGCCCCGCCCACGCGCTGCGCGATTTCGCGCAGATGCCTCACACAGGTTACTGCTCCCTCCTTCTTCTCTTCTTACATAAATGCTGTGTTCTTCCCCTACATCTTTCAGAAAATGCGAGTATTGATTCCAAGTATTTCTTCTCTTTCCCGTTCCAAATTGTCGTCTTATATGTTTTTTCGAAGAAAAACACAACCGTGCCGCAGATTTGCAACTTGCTCCGCCCGCGCGCTGCGCGATTTCGCGCAAATATCTCGCACAAATTACTGCAACCATTCCCTCCCCCCTTACTTGAGTAATGTATTCTTCCCCTATATTCTGGTAAAAAACATTAACCACTATTGATTCGTTCGTTTTCTCGAATACACACACACAACGATTTTGACCTGATCTTATCGCTTTGTTATTCGACTAGACCCGCGGCGAGCCCGCTCTTCGGAGTCTGAAGGGCTCGTGCACTTTTGTTTGTTTGAAAATTCTCTACGCTGTTTTACGACGTGAAAAGAAATGAAAGAATGGACCAAAGAAGAAATCTGGCTCACTCTGCGTAAATGTACATAGTTCGAAATAGTGGAGGTGGGGCGGGGGACGTAGAGAGTCGGCTCAGGTTACTGTTTTATGCACAGTCATTGAATTTCACCATCGGAACATTGTTTTTGTTGTAATGTGAGAAGATTTTGCTATTATTAGTACCTACCACCGATGCTCAAAAATCATCTCTTGATTTTTGATGAGTTGTTTCTGTTTCGGGTTGTTTTTGTGTTGTTGTCCTCTCTATGCAGCGAAAGTTTTCTGGTATAATTTGCGAAACGCGTAATTGAGCTGCACTTTTGTTTACCCAGTTCTATTCACGGTACCGTGAGGGACGAACAGAAAAAAGAACTCTAGCAGAATAACATCCTTTTTAACTGATGCTTGTCTGGGTATTCTGTATAGATGAGATGGGCGGAGCTTAGCATGTATTTTCGGAGATGTGAGCATTCATTTGACTTCACTCTAGAACATTGTCCGCTGTAAGTCGTTCTCTTCGGTTAACGCGTGATGAGCATATTCCGTGAGGCACTTGCGCGAAATCGCGTAGCGCGTGGGCGGGGCTAATTGCAAGCTTGCGGCACGTTTGTCTTTTTGGCTCGCTCAAAATCGCGACTGCAAGCGTTACTATGGAGCTACAGATGAGAGCAAAAAAAGCGAGGAAACTTTTTCCTGATTATGAGTATATCTTTCAAACTAATTCATTGTCGAATGTATATGAGTCACTTCCTGAAATGTTTTTTTTATTCGATAGTTTTTCACATTGAGCTCCATTATCAAGATATATTTTATCATGTAATCTAGAAGCTTGCATCAGCATTTGCGCGAAATCGCGTTGCGCGTGGGCGGGCTAATTGTAAATTTGCGGCGCGGTTGTGTTTCTCTGCGCTCTTCCTTGTTATGAGGACTGCAAGCGTATAATCACTATGTAGGCTACAAAAGAGAGCGAGAAAATCTGTTCCAGTTCCGACTTTTTATTTTCTTTGATTTATATTGAGTAGTTCTTTTTCGCTCGTTCTTTGCGCACTCAATTAGCTTCATTGCATATTCCTCACGTATTTCGCATTGCCTGATACAGTAGCTGCGTGAGGTACTTGCGCGTAATCGCGTAGCGCGTGGGCGTGGCTAACTGCAAGTGCGGCGCGCTTGTGTTTTTCTACGTTTTTGCTCATTATTAGATTTGCAAGCGTGTATATTACTAGGCAATTTGAAATGTGGGACTTTTTTGTGCCCATCCATCTTTTGAAGTATAATCCATCTTATATTTTGCATTCATCTTCTATAGTCACTCCCTACAGCAGAAATTCCATTCTGTCAAAATTATGGTGCGTTAGCTTGCATGAGTCACATGCGCAAAATCGCGTAGCGCATGGGCGGGCCAAACTGCAAAGTTGTGGCATGCTTGTTTTTGCAGTTTTCATTATCATTTTTCATCATTATGGCAGACATATGTATTGGAACTTTTAGATATTACCTAGAACATCTTTTTTGTTGCCCATCATTTATATTTTAAATTATGATGATAAACTATGATTCTAACGAATGTTCTCCCTCTCTTTTTTCGAAGTGTTCTTTGTGCGTTCGTTTCGAGCACATTCATCTCCACATCATCTAGAATTATTTTTTTTCATTTTGTTTTAGCAGTAGTATAGTGAGATAGTAGCTTCTATGATGCGCTTGCGCGAAATCGCGCAGCGCGTGGGCGGAGCTAACTGCAGACTGCGGCACGCTTGTGTTTTTCTTCTTTTTCGGTCATTATCAGAATTGTAAGAGTATGTATTAGGTTATCCGGAAAATAATGTCGCATGGCATCCTACCGCGACAGAATGACCACAAAAAACATCGAATGGGGTATCATTCGATAGAGCAAAGCAAGCTCTACAAGATAGTTCACAAATCTCCGCGGAAAATGTTGCTCCACCTGAAGTTCGAATCCAAAATATAAAAAATTTCAGACGCCCGAAAAATCGTATCTCCTTTCACAGACGTCTTAGGGATCTCCAATTTGCACAGCCATGTACTCTCCACACTAGACATTCACCTGTATAGTTTTTGGCATTTTTCCATGGCTACAGTACGAGAAATAAAAAGCAAAAGTGCGAATATGTCGTGTTTTTCGGGTTTTTTGCAAACAATTTGATTTTTCTCGAAAATTAGCGCTTGTCTAAAGCTGAAAATTTATGGTTATACTCCTAAAGGTTCATGCTACAGAATCACCCATGTGAGAGAAGCTCAGGATTGCTTTGGCAGAAATATGCCAAATTTGGTTTTCTCAATTTTCAGCCACGGAAAGACCGCGAAAATGTGCACACGTGTGTCTCGCATAGTGAGTCCAAGCGTGAGCAAGTTAGGGGTTCTCAGAACTTCTCTGAATGGAGATACGGTTTTTTCGTTATTTCGGATCTTGAGTGCCTTCTGAACTTTGGCTCCAAACTTCACACAAATGAAACCTGGCGCGAAGGTTCGAGCTTCATTTTGTAGAGCTTGCTCTGATCTATCGGTTGATACCCTGTTCACATACTTTCGTGCGCGCCTTGCTGCGATATTGCATGATAAAACAAAAAGCGACATTATTTTCCGGACAACTTAATATTATTGGAAGCTCCAGATATAGCCGAGAAAATTTTTTTCTCTCTTCGGTTCATCTCATATTCTGAAACAAAATTTTCCACCGAATACTTCTCTATCTTTCGTGTCCTGAAGTGTTCTTTATTCGCTCGTTTTTCATATGTCGTTCTTCTGTTACGTCCATCGCTGCACATTACCCGATAACACAGTGCAAATGTAAGAGATGTGCGTACAAAGCACAGAGAGCTAGGGCTCTGTTCTAGTCCATTCGTTCGTTCTCTCCTCCATTGCACTCCTCCCCCCTTGCTGTTGATCGCCCGCTCACACTCACACACACTCAGGGCATTCACACGTTCTCACATTGCGCTGATTCAGGAAGGTGCCTTGCTGTTTTGCTCCATCGTGATGTGGAAATAGAAGTGTTCGCGCAGCCGAAGAGAGAGAGAGACCGTTCGTCGACTCCACACGCTCTTCACTGAATCGCCTTCACACACACCGTCTCTTACTCTCCCCACAAGTCTTGTTTTTTTCCTTCTGTATAGACTCGTATTCACGTCGCTGTCATCGTCACTATTCCGATGACTCTATCTGAGCTCTGGAATCCATTGTTGTGGTGGGTTATGATTTTTTTGTTATTATTTAACACATTCACGACAACACGACCCACCGGTGGATCGTATATGTCCTGCTATTTCGGACAATACGACCCACCTGTGGGTCATATGCTTTCCGAAGTTTTTGAGGCTAGCTCATGGTGGAACAAACCGAGTAAACCTTTGTATACATCTATTGGAGTAATTCACAAAAAATTAACACTTCAGACCAGAGGACCCATCAGTGACCTGAAAATATTACACAAATTCAATTTTGCGAAATATGGTCCGGTCCGAAAGGCAGTAAGCGAAAAGTCGGCCCTGTTGTGAATGTGTTAATGTGGAGAAAAACCTTACATGCGCACAAGCAAATTTTACTGCCTCTACACTCATACGAGCCCATTTCCACGCCCCTTTTTGGGTTCTGACCTCCCCCTTCCTTCAACCAATGGTGCTTTGCGCAATGCTTGGTGGTCATTTCTACGCTTACCACTAGCCAATCGCGCGGTGGATAGAGGAACGAACTCCGCCAGTTTGAACCGCCTCCACGGACCACTGGTCCTGCAACGAGATGCAACAATATAGCAAAAGGAACATTTGCCGCGAAGGCGGGCTCAAACTGGCGGAGTTCGTTCCCCCTACCTCGCTCGGAAGTTCCGCAGGCGAAGCCAAATTTGCAAAAGTCCCGCAGACATTGTTCACACAAGTAAATCATCGGAAAAGCAGACGGGGAAGACCCGCGTGGATGTGACGTCAAGAACTTTTTTTGATAGAAAGTCAATGCAAAGAATTATTTTAAAGATCTTGCGTAATTGCCTTGTTCTGAAAGTGTTCGCGAAGTTCCGCAACGGGTGGAGCGCATCCTCGTGATTTTCCTCAACCCGCTACGGAACTGCTACTGGTTAACTCGAACGATTTTAGATATAATCTGCGCTGCGCGTACGTAAGTTGTTTTTTGTGGCGAAGACTTTCAAAGGTTGAAAAATCATTTTGAAAATTAAAAATTAACATTAAAATTTGAAAAACTGGATTGGACCGCACTACAAAGTTTATAAATAGGGGCGTTGTTATTAATTACCCTTTCTTGGCTCGAAAACGGGGAATATTTTTGACTTTGATTTGCAGAGGTTTATCGACTATCAAAGGCTGTCGTGCTTTCTTGACTCGCGATATCTGCAAATGGGAATTTCGCAATTATGTACGTTTTACAACCGAGTGCACTTTTGCCCTGCAAAAGCACTTTCTTGGAATACCATCTGCAAATAAGGCAAATATCGACAAGGTACATAGTGAATAAAAATAAATGAGTCATCTTGATCTAGTGGTTTTTTCGGCGTTGTAATGGTTTTGTGGGAGGGCAGCGCAAAATCAAAATTGAAACATTGTTGGGAATTTTTTTTGGGTGTGAAGAAGAAGGAACGTGCTGTTAAACGCTGATTTTTCAAGTGTCTTTAGTGTCTGAATGCTTATGATAACAGATGGGGCTCATTCTGGTAGCGCTAATTTTTGGGATCATAGTGAGTATACTGTAAGCGGTTCAGAATGCCAGATTTGCTCAGAAGTTTGTCTAGGGGTTCAGTCAGTATCAATATCATAATCAGATCAGTGAAGAACCTCCACGGGCAAACCACGGGCAAAATTTCGAGCAAATTTGAGAGTTTGTGCATCTACCGTATACCCACCGTAACCCCAAAATAGCGCAGAATCAATATTTATTTGTGACAGCGTGCCAAATAACAGGTTTGGGCAAAGTTGCAGTAGTTTATGAATACTGGAACAGCACCCATCATTCTTATTTAGTTTTCCTTGCCCCCTCCATTACCAACAGGGCGGGGCGCAAAGCAAAAAAGGGCGGAGCAGAAAATTTTGATCTTATCAAAGGTTCATTCGTTTTTTTTTTGCATTGCCAAAATGCGAAGATAAAATCTATACAGTGTAATCCTCTCGAAGAAAGTAACAAATGACCATGATATTTTGTTTTCAAGCAGCTCCTTCGCGACCCGCATCATTGCTCGTTCTATGTGCGCCAAGGTGAACACGGTCATTACGGGGGGGGGGGGGGCAAATTCTACCCCCGTCGCGTCACCACAATGAGGCGCATACGCTGTAAAGTGAAAGATTATCTGTGCTGCTAAACAGGTCTAACGGCATGTGTCCCCCGTATTCAGTCAGGAAAACTGAGGGAGGGGAGAGCAGGCTCAAAAAATTATTGATTTATCGATTTTAGGTACACAAAACAACATCAAAGTTATGATGAATTGTTTACCGAAACGATTGGCACATTGTTCTATGGTGTCGGTAACTTAAAGGACTCAACCCGTCATTTTATAGCTATCATGGTAAGTCGTAAAATTTTGCGTTTGCAAAATGTACTACAAGTACACTATAAGATAGACGTGTTACTTATCAATTAGGCAGACGTGCTGTCAGACGCTGAAATCTTTTTTCATATGAAAAAACCTCGTCTCGTTCCGGGTTTTTTGTTAAGATTAATTTTCGAAAAAAAATTTGTACAATCGCTGGGAATTTGAGAGTAACCACGTTACATAGCATAAAGCGCCGTTTTAGAATAGTGTAGCCGCGTTGCGGACTAGCAAGCAACGCGGTTCCTTAGGTTATACATATATAAATAATATAGAGAGGACAAGCGACCCTACGTTCGTGGTATTGAAAGCGCGATCTGAATCAATGAGTTCGAGAACATGCTGTAGCGGCGCATAAGAACCACCCTCTCACGAGCACGGTCCGTATGCGCCGCTACAGTATGTCATCGTAGTCTGTAGCATTGAGGATCTTCAATCTTTGAATACTTTGAAAAGTTCCAATGTGCTCTTGTGAATTATCTCGGCATACGATAGCACACGGTATGTGGGTGCAAAATGGCCACTGCCTCAATCAAACTGTCTTTTGATCAGCATTTCCGCGTTAATGCATCGCCGCGGTGCGTTCCGTGGATTTGATAATTCAAATTGATAGTTCAAATTCGGCTTTATCGATGGCAACCGCACTGCAACATCATGCGTTGCCATTGCAGTGCGGTTGCGTAGCGCGCGCGAGAAGTGACACTGTATTTGGGACAGAATTTGCGATGCCAGTGATCTGCGTCTGTGACGTAACTATACAAATTTAATTTTTTTGTCCATTATCCTAATTGGGTGTGCGTGACGCCTTCTTTCTTCTTTCATTTTCTGACAAATCGTCTATTTTTGTTCCTTTTAACGAATATTTTCCGTAGTTGGTGATTGACGCCAACAATCACTGCAAAATTATTCTATTCTTTCGACAATCTGTTGTAATACATCAAGATTTTGTACTCTTCGCGAAAGTACGATCTGTCGTTGCTGTGTCATTTAATTGGCTATCATTGTATCCGCTAGTTGATTGCCTTGACAGATAAGCCGTAAATGGGGATCGAAAATAGCGCCGCAGCACATCTGTTCATAACATTCAAGTCGGAGATTAGCCGTGCGCTATTTCTCAAAGTAGAAAAGAGTGGGGAGCTTTTAGATAATCTTCTAGAATGGCAAAATGTTACTTTTGAAGGAATAATAGTCCTATCATCCATCAAAATCTGTGTGTATGTTAGAGTGTTAGAGTGCTGGAACATTTCGAAACGAGTTTTTTCAATGGGTACTTTTGAGGGGTGTTCAAGGCCTTCGGACGTAATTATGGAGGCATGTTTACTTTGCAGAGTCTCATGTGAGAAAGAGTAGGAAATATGGTTTAGGGATGTGAAAGTGGAAGGCGGGGGTTTTCAAAAATTCAGGTACTTATTCTGCGTGTTTATAGGAATTTTAGTCCAAGAAAAGTACCTAACATCTGCTATCCGAAATCTTCTGCATATATAGGCTGCTGCATGACGAAGGTGCATTATCTTTGGGCGCGGCTTTATTAGCCGCAAAGCGTATGAGGCGCAGGATTTACGACGGTGAAGATACGCGCGCGCCGCGTTCGCGCCCGCTCAACTAATACTGCTTCAGCGCCTTTGTCATGCGGTAGCCTTTATATTGTGGCGTACATTGTGGCGACGCATATTGACGCCTCTGAGTTGCTATACGCAAACCGCGGCGCGCCGCAACAACGTCTGCGCATGGTTGTCTGCGTCTCGTTACATTGATTATGCATATCTGCAGCCATCTAATAATTCTAAACGGTTCTCTAGTCTGACTTTTTATAGGTGAATGTTATTATCATATTACTGTCTATAATTGTTGTAGTAGGACGCAGACAACGGACCCTCGCACGGATTTCGTTGCGGCGCGGTCGCGATTTTTGTGTAGCGACTCAAAGGCGTCATTACGCCGCCTCGCATTCGGTCTGCATTGGGGCTATTAAAGTATATTTTTTTGTGAATGTGTATTGTAATCCATACTATCTATAAAGCGCTAGCACCCCCATGTGAGTCAGCATGTATGTCTGTTCCGCGATTGTTTACCACTAATGACAACGCGCCCGGCACCCAAGAAGTCGCGCTGATGACGTCATACAGTGCTGTCTTCAAATGTTTTCGGTTACGCTCTTCAACAATGTTTATGAGTCGGCACCAGAAGCAGCGAAATCAAAACCACTTAAACTGTCAGCGGTTGGATTGATTAAGCTGTTCCACTGACTGCAATAGTTTCATTTCGAAAATCATCAAGGGTTTTCAAATCGTTTGTACATTAACTCACTACCATTTTTTGACATCTCGTTTCTCTATTTCTATTATGGAGCGTTTAATTTGGAGCGCAGCACAAATCAAAAAAGTTAGGTATTTGAGCAAGTACTGCAGTCTTGCATAGTTCATTTTTCGAGTGCTTTGTATGTTTCCTCACCTTATACAGTTGGGCCAAATATTCAATTATTCCGTCCTTCTAATTTTTCTGCTAACATATTTCAGCAACATAGTTGTTCTCCATGAAGTGCTTAGTGAATGTTATTATCCCAGAACCGCAAAATTTGTTTTTGGAGGTTTTTCGCAAACTTTACTTGGGACAATCTGTCTAAGATTTTTTTTTATGAGCACTTCGTTTGAAATGCCTAAACCACAGGCAATTCCTTAGGCAGTTTTTTCTCAATTCACAAGGAAGGATGTTTGACAAAGCTGATGCACTTCGAAAATCTTTGAGTCCTTCGAGTTGACATTTAAATACTGTGTGAACTATTTGGATAGTTGCCAACAATTGTACGAAACACTATCTTTCCGAACAAATGCAGTGTAATCATGCAAATTTTCTTGAAACTCGATAAAAGGATGCAAAAACCTTCTTCAGCTAAGAAAGAGTAAACCTTAAAGGAACTACTTTCAAATTCCCGTGTTTTCCTTAAAACATTAAAAATTCGAAGAGTAATGTAGAAGAAAGTCAATGCGATCGTGATTGAATTTATTAGGACTAAAAGCTGTGGGAATGTGCCGTTAGTCTCTCAGTTACGAATAAGAGACAAGGTGACATGCAAGTCGGCTTTACATAAACTAAAGCTTCACTAACCTACAGCGCAGCTTTTTCAAAATATCGCACTACCTCAAAATTGTGTAGGGAACAAGATCTGCCTAAGTGAGCCAGCTAGGAACATAAACACCTTTAAGTAGGTCCCTTCGAGGATTTTAGATTGCTTAATAAAATAACCTGAAAATTGAGTGGATTTTGGAGCCTAGGATGAATTGCAAAGATGTTGGACAGTTTAGGAAGCATAAAACGCGAACGAGAGTTTTGACAGTGAAATATCTTGAAATGGGAGATGAATTGTGACGCTTTCAAAAAAAAAAATACTCTGTGAAGAAAAAGAGGGAATGTTCGAATTTAAAAAACTCTAGATTTGGTAGCTCTAATGTTGGCTATATACTTTCAAGAACATCAGTTCGAATTTTCTTGCTGATTTAATTTCGGAAAGAGATAAAAATAGTCTGATTAGAGTTTTTGGGTGAAGGCTCTAAAACAATTTGGAGGGTTATCAATGTGGGAAACAGGGCCCCGGGTGGGATGCACATGACTGGGATTACTTTGTCGGATTTGGGACGGGCGCTTCATCACAAAAAATTACGTTACGTTTTTTCACGTGTGAAAGTTTGAATGAAGGACTCGGGCTAAGTCTGTTTCAATCGTGATCAGGCTAAACATTTTCGAATAAGCAGATTTGGGGGCAATTTATGAAGTGCCCCCCAAATCTAAGTTACAACCGAAGACTGTGAGATCGCGAGAAGATATCGTACTTCAGGAACTTTGATTAAGAAGCTACTGGGTGCAAAGGAGTTGAGGGGCGGGGGAAACCTCGAAAGACTCTGACAGCAAAAGATTATACAACATTCGAGATCTGTATATTATCTGTAAATAAAGTATCTGTAATCGTGTCTCTGCGAGCAAATGAAGTGGCGGTGCTGTTAGAAGAAGCTGGGAGGGGAGCGTTCACAATTCTGTTGCCATTTTTTATAAGAAAATTTTCGAAACTTTCGACAGCAGAAAAAATCCGTGACTTTGATAACTCCTGGGATCGTTACGTATTTGAATCCGTGTCATACTTTTGGAGAGGAAAAGGTTCGCTACAAATCTTCAGGGGTTCTAACTTCCAGTCACATTTCCATTTCACACACAGCCAGTCCAAAGCGCCGCGAAGCGGCGCTTTGGACTGGTTTGATTATATTGCGCTCGAAACCGAATAACAGATATTGGAAGTTCAAAGTTTTACACTTCACTATTTAGGAATTTCAAAGTTTTACACTTCACTATTTACCATAGATCCACGTCGTTTTGTAGCGGTCACGGCGTAAAGCTATTAGTTTAGAGAATGAAAACCTACCACAGCCCTTCACTAGCAGGCCCATAATCAAATTTTTTTGCTCATCATTCTTGGCAGATAGAGTAGCAAATGCTAGGCGAACCGCCATTGTTGACGACTGAACTACTCATCTGCAGTGGACTGATGATATCGCGCCCCACACACTTTTTCGTCTAGCCGGTCTCGAAAGGGCAATTGTATAACGAAAAGCCAGTTTAGTGAGCGAAGCGCAGCGTCACAAACAAGTTTTCCATCGGAAATGTGTGTTGCATGGCTAGCATTGGCTAGTATCCCAACTCAGTCATTGTTTTTAGGAGACTCGTATCACTTCGAAACAAAAACGTATTCGGACTTTTTCATTCGCGCGCGGCACGCGTTATCAGACAAGGTTTGACATCTTCATAGCAGAACAAAGACCCTAGATGGCAAAGCGATGCCGTTTTGTCTGTAGAGTTATTAGCGAGAGGGCAATAGAGTTTTCTCGGGAAATAAGCAAGGGGGAGAAATATTTTTGTGTCAGGAAATTTTTGTTCTATTAAGTATCATTCATTCTATGACCAGGAGAGGCGAGACCGCAATGCATCATTGTCTAAACAAGCCCAATCGTGTACTTAGCAGGTTTATACTTGTCATTCATCTCGTCCAGATTTAAGCACTCTTTGGAAACAGGAAAGTACAAACTTGTTGAGACAATGTCCGTAATGCGGTTCCGCGTCTCCTAGTCATAGAATAGATGATAGTCAGATAAGCAATGTTTGGGAAAAGTGAACTCTATATCTGTGAAAATCCCTTCTATAGTATTTGAATTTTTTAACGTCTTGCTCCTTTTTGGCTAAGAGCCCCTCTATCCACGCCCACACCCCCTAAAATCTTTGGGTTTTTGATTGCGGAAAATGTTATATATCCGCCAAAAAATTCAAATTCTGAGGTGGTCAAACTAAGCGTTGTTTGAATCTTCTTTGCTCAATTATTAGATTTGCGGAAATGATCTGTATCTAGAAGTTTTTGCTGTCACACCCATTTTTGATTGAGAATTTTCCAACTCCTGAAGGAGCACCGATAGATGTCTAAAAAGAGTTTGCTGAATGTAACAGTCTGTAAAAAAAGCTTTGCAATTCTGGAATTTCCAGTGCCGCGCCTTTTTTTTGGCGGAAAATGGTTCGAGCCACGCCTACTTCTTAAATATCTACTTCTAAAAAATTGTGTATGTACTGTAATCTGAATTAGTGGGAGACCGATATATTTCTTCCACGAGAAGGGGAGGGAGGGGGTTTGCACTTGGCATGTTTTCTGTTTCGAGGATACCTCAAATTTCCCCAAAATTTTTTTGGTTTGTTTCAGTTTTTATTGAATTCATAGGACTTTGCAACTGAGTGAATTATCGCCTCACTGAGTCAGTAAGACTTCGATGGCTGTTTATGGTCAATATAAGCTCAAAATATCGTGGATATTTGTGTATCAAAAAATATCTTTTGTGTATAAAAGTAGAAATGCATCAAGGATCTCAATTTCCACTCAGACCGGATTTTTCAATGTTTTCAGGCAGCGACACGACATCGTTGTTCATACCTCATAGATCTTCACGAACGAGAATTCGAACGTTATGGTGGCGATCCGAAATGGTTGCGAGGTCTGAAATACGTTGACGATCCAAAACTACAACATCTTGACGATATTAATGTTGTGCTGGCACATCAGCCTTGGTTGTGTAATGGAGAGTACATCACGGTAAGAGAGTGCAAGTTCGCGTTTTGCAGAAGGGCGCTTCACGAGGGGGGGGGGGAGGGAGACCGCTGCAAAAGGCTAAAGACTAAGAGGATGTACTTTTTTGCAGGGTTTGGTGCAAGGTGATGCACAGTCGCATTGGTCGATTCATGATTTGGCACAAGCTGTTGTGATTCTTACACATACACACGCTCTATGCTCATTTGTACATGGTGTAGGAGCTGTGAATCCGAGCGAGTGAGTCGTCCTATAAAATTAACGCGCAACTTGGTGGGATTTTGATGCAGTACGATAGTGAGGCTCATAACTAAGTTACTGCCCAAGTCCCGTGGTAGAAGGTGTATTCCAAAGCGAGAAAATTACTCCAGAGGGTGTTCGCTGTGGGGTCGCCACGCCCATCAACTGGGTGGTGTGAGGTAGTGAGCCCGAAACTGGACTTGGAGTTTCCAGAAATGTCGGCAATTTTGTTATTCACAATGAATGGCGATTTTCAACCTTACTAGGTACTATTGAGCAAGTTTTGGGCTCATGACGTTAGGGCCACACAGGTTGATGGGCGTGGCTATCCTAGCCGCATTCACCCTCCGAAGCAATTTTTTCGTTTTGGAATGCACCTTTTAGAGCGGAAATTTGGCGGTTACTTAGTTGGGGGCCTTGCTTTTATACTGCTCAAAATCTAATCATTCCTCTTTTTGGTGACACTCTTTCTTTTTCGATTCGTCTTTAAAGTGTTCGATCTTTGACTTGGCAAATGGTTTAGTCTTGTGTTTGTGTGCGCCTCTCTTTGCGTGGTTCTTCTTAATTGCTGCTCATTTAGATCGCATCGCAGTGAGTGTTCCGACTGGGCACAACGAAACAAAGAGAATACCGGGGCACAGACTGGAGAGGTATGTCTCTTCGAATAGATTAATTTTGGTTTTATGGCAAGAAAGAAGGATTAGTCGTTGTTGCGTGCGGGGTGTTCCATCAATCTCTACGATGCAAGAATGCATTATCGTAGAGTACTGATGTAGTTTTAGTACATTCATGAAAGTCGGATCGTGAGCATTCTTAGTCGTTCGCTGACGAGGGTTTTGTGCAGGGACATTGGGATTTGCTCGGGTTTATGAGCTTCCTTAGTCATAACTAATGTTCTCATACTTTTTGAGAACATTAGTTATGACTAAGGAAGCTCATAAACCCGAGCAAAAGTGCTATACATTTTTCGGGTGGAAGATGAGGATTTTTGAATAAAGGGTGATCGTAAGATAGGTTGAGTTTTTATGGAGAGTGTTAATTACATAGGAGTAGATGGATTTATCTCTACTTCAGTAAAAAAATTGGTTTTTGCCTTTCATCATGATTGCTAGGATGAGACTGGAGTGAAATGGACCAGTAGCAGCGCTTGGCTCCACCCCTTTGCCGAATGACCAATAGCACGTTACTGACCCCTTTGCGCACAGCTTTGTTGCTTAAACGCTTTCGATTTATTCTGGTTAAATAATTTATGAAGGATGTTCATGACATATAGTGCTTCTGACAGTTAAATGTCCTTAAAAGGCGTTTTGAAGTTCCCTGCATGGAATGTACTTGTGGGATTTGGTGAAAAATTGCATCATGATAACTTAACTCATTGACAGGAAATCAGGAGTTTTCCCAAAAAAAAATTTTGCAAGAAAAATTGGAGGGAAATCGACCAATAGCAGTGCTTGACTCCGCCTCCTTGCACTGGTGACCAATAGTATGTTTTCTCCACCCCCTGTAAGCGTGAGCTTATATTCGTTATCTACTGGATTGTTGAATGTTTTCTTTCAAATGCTATGTATGAAGTTTTGTTTTTGACAGGTAGTGTTTGTGACAGTTGGGTATTTAGAAAAATTCATACTAGACTTCCTGTCAGTCACAGAAAGTGAGCTCTCAAGACCAATTTTTGGGGTCCATGTGAGAGAATTATCCAAACTAATGATCTCTGCTCACTTGTTTACCATAAAAAGAAGACAAATGTCAACTCTCAGACGTTAGGTTGCACGAAACTACTACCCTTAAGAAGTAAACAACTACAGTAACCCGCGGTAGTACATGGATATTAGTTCTGTTTTACGTCAGCTACGTCCGTGTTATTATTGAGTTCGGCCAGACAAGGGGGCAGTAGGGGGGGGGGGGGGAAGTATTTGGAAAAAGCCTCCTCGCCCCGACAAACAAGCACACACACCAAACACAGATCAAAGCTGGTGTGCCGCCGCGGGAACGGGGGGGGGGGGGTGGAAGCCGCAATGATCCTCCAGCGCCGTAGGTCTTTGGTCGATATCCGGCCGTCCGTTGTTGTTTGAGCAAGCCATTTTGCATCGACGACGCAAAAAAGTGTGTTTTGAAGTAACAGCGGCCGCATATCAATATGTTTTTCGACCCCCTGAGAGTGGAGCTGGAAAAGTATCAAAACGCATCTTGAATCAGGGTGTTTTGCATGGTACAATGTGGTACCAGCGTGTGCACGCGCATAAATGCACTATCCCTGAGATGGCATGTGAGAGCTTCTGTAAAAGCTGTACAAGCGCATGTTTTGTCGTAATGTTGCTATATAGGAGAGTCGATGGGAATTGGAGTGGAAGTGGAGGAGGTGGGAGGGGGGGGGGGGATGGAGAGAAGATGAGGAGAAGGTCATTTGCTGAGAAAACGATAAAAGTTGGAGTTTGGTGGTGCTGGCGAACTGTAAAATGATAGGAAATATAGCAAAAATAGTTTCATTTGTCAAAAAAAGAAGAAATGGTAGAAAAGCCCTTTTTTGCGAAAGGGGGCTCAGTAGGGGACGAATCTAAGAAGTGATACTTATTTATTAGTTTTCAACGCATTGTTAGGCTAAGGAACAGGCATTTATATAAGAAAGTACGGACATAACAAGCGGTGAGACTACGATAGTTGGTTCTATACGGAACTTAAAGGCAGCAGCTCGGCAGAATGCCAACTTTGGGATATTCATCGTCCTCAGTTCCCCTTAATGAGTCAAGTCCAAGACTGTTCTTTGCAGCTTCAAAAGATATGGATAACTCGCTTTCTCGGACGTGAAAGTGCTGTTGGGGCGGGTCGCGAAAGTGGCTGCTGGAGTCGATACTCCAATCGCCGTTGAAATGCGTACGGTATCTCCACTCACGAGCCAATCGCGCTCTAGAGGGCAGGCTTACGCCCTCCGCCCAAATAGCATTTTTTACATCCGGAAAAGCGGGTCATTGATATTTTTTGAAGCTGCAAAGCACGGTCATGGACTTAGCTCATCCAGAGGAGCTGAGAACGATGAATTTCCTGAAGTTGTCATGCTGCCAAGCCGCTGCCTGTAAGTTAGAGCCGCTTGAGATTTTTTCCTTAGAAATCATGGTGGATTAATAAATGAAAATTTTTAGTCAATCTGTTTTACGCGTAATAGTGTGGAAGCTACAGTTCTCCAGAGCAACTTCATAATTTCCCCTCCCCTTCTCCAACAGCTATTGTGTATCCATTGTAAACAGTGGAATAATAAATGGCAACACGTGCAGACCGAGCTGCTAAATGTGCTGATTGAAATCCAAGCACTGGTGACAAATGAATGGATCAATTTACGCTTCGAATCGTTTCCTATTATAAACTGACGGACAGACGAATTTAGCATGGGGTAGCAGATATCAGCTAGTGAGTGAAGAGGAGGAGGGGGAGGGGGGGGGAGGTGATAACAAATTTTTTTTCTGGCAAAATTCATGACATTGTCAAAATATGTCATTTTGACAGAGGATGTTTTACCTTAGATTATACTATGAGGTACTGTAGCCGATTACGGTAGTCACTGTAGTGAGATATTAGTATAGAGTAGGGGACGGGGATACTAACATCGGCATAGGGGACGGGGATACTAACATCGGCAATGGCTTCAACAACCCCATGGCTAACCCATTGACGACGACGCCTAATTTGCATGGCGGCGCTGTGGGACGACGCGATTTTGCACAGCACTTTCGGCGTGGAGGGTTTTGTTGTTATTTACGAATTGCAAAGTTGTTTTGTAAACAATTATGCGTTATATAGAAAAAAAACTAGACTTACAAATGATAGGCTTTGCAAGACGTTGGGCCACCGATGGTCCACATCGTCCCTGGCGGCAAAAAGTGCATGGGTCACCGGTGGCCCACATCGTTCGTCAATGGCTTAATGATTTCTAGTGTATTGGTTATTTGCCTTACATTCGTTTCGTTCGAGTACAAATCCAACTCTCATTTCTCCTCATTTTTCTTCTCTTCTTCAAAAAAGTGCTTCGTCTTTCTTCCACGAAAAACTCAAATTATCGATCTAATAGAACTATGCAGTCACTCGGATCAATCAGATCATTTGAAATTCGGGTTCATAGGTCCGCCAGTGTATGTGTAAAGCGATTATTTATCTATCACACCTCATGGCGCACGCGTGCGTACTCAGCTGTGTGGATGCAATGGGGGCCAAAATATATGCAGTTGGGGAATTGTTGCAAGGGGGGGGGGGGGAAACGGCGGAGGAAAGAAGAAACTGATATTGGAAATGATGATAGTCTGAGCGAAAATGCAAAATATATTTTGTGATAGGAAAGAAACTGTAATTGGATGCAAGTTTCGCATTCGCACAGTTGTTCAATCTATGCTTGACCTTGTGCAGGTGCCGCAATTGCAGAATTCCGTGTTGTGTGCAGTTTTCTGCAATGTTCTTTGCTTTATCGACAGAAAACACACAAAACCTCGTCGAAGCAAACTCTGTAAAGTTATAAGGGTGAATTGAAATTTGGGCGCAACTTAGGAGTAAGGTATGGATGATCGATCAATATTTGGCCTTGTGCAAGTGCCGCAATTGCAGAATTTCTTAGCTTTTGTGCAGTTTTGCGAAATGTTCTTTGCTTTATCGACTGAAAGCACACAATCTTCTCTTATGTCGTGCTATATTGCAGGTCGAGGAACTGCTTCGTCGTATGGCAACACTTCGACGTCCAACAATCGATGGCGGCGAGATGTCTGCAAATAACGCGCTACACTTTCTCGCCTTAGCTGACGGGTCGTCTGGTTAGTAGATTCGAGTTCATTGGGGACCAATATATCAATACGTTCACGGAAAGGGGAGGGGAAGGAAGAGCGGAAAACATCTTTGACCCCCCTGAAGATCAGGGACTAGACAGTGAATAAGTCGCGAATGCGATTCGAAATCGTAATTTTGCTTGTTGTGGATAACTTTTTGGCACATTTTTTGTGGCTTTGCACGGAATCAATCGATAAGTGACCTTGTGCAAATGTCGCAATTGCAGAATTGTCTGTTTTCGCGTGCAGTTTTATACGCCTTCTTCTCTTTATCAAGTGAATACCTAAAACCACGAAGATCAAGGACCAGAGAGTGAAAAGATGATGAATATATTTATTTGCAGATGTGCATTCTGGTGGTGAATCACCAATAGGAAACAGTGATGAAGAAGCCGTGTTCAGTTATCAGAAGGAATTTGGTTATGTGGATTTTGCAGCAAGAAAAGATCGTGCCAAGACCTTCAAAATTCATGTGGGTATAGAGAACAGGCTAGTTTTTTTTCGAAAATCTATCAGTTTCTTTAGGAGTTCACCTGGGATCATGGATTCAATCTTCTAAACGATCTGATCCCGGAAACTGCCCAAAATCTTGACGACAAATTTGATCTGACACAGAAACTAACATATTCATTGTAAGTTTAATGCGTCACGTGGGAAAAAATTGAAAACGATACGGTAGGGATACTGTAGGATTACGGAGTTTCACTGCAATTTGTGTGTACATCGGTTTGTTATGAACTCTGTCAAGGCATATTGAATGACACCATAGAAAAATTCTTGTGGGATACGGTAACAGTACGGTCAATATAACAGCCTAGCGAGCTTTGACTTTATGGATCTTTTTGGGAATATCCTTCATTCGGACTTTTTATGGTCAGTCGCGCAGAATATGCTAGCAATATATCTAGTGTTACAGTACACCCACAGTTTGCTCTAAATGATAGCACATTGCAAAACACTGTGAAATTTTTATGCATTATTCTTCAATAATGGGACTTATCAGTTCAAGTGACGAAAAATATGCCCTCACGAGTACAGTACGCTTACAGTATACCTGCAGTAATATACATCAAAATGGGCCAAATTCATTGAATTTTCTTGCATGCAAATCCATATCTTCGACTTACTTCATTTTCAAACCTAGTGAAGTTAAATTAGGAATCGGAATCACACTTACTCAAAAAGGAATTTATCTTACTGTTTGCAGTACATCCATACTGTACCTGCAGTAATCTGAATTCGATGCTGGAGAAATCTTTGGATTTTTTGTAGCCTTAAAATCACTTTTCAGCCTCAAAATTCTCTTATTTAGTTCGCTCAAACTTTTTTTGTACATTTTAGTATGGGTGGTTACGAGAATGTCGACACTACGGTATATCGTTCTGCTGTATGGAATTACATTCACGCTCTTTTTGGAATACGACATGATGATTATGATTACGCTAAGGTGAGTCCAGTTTCTTATTGAGAAAACCTTTTCCTATTTGAGATTCTTGTAATTTTTTTTGTCAGTTGTAAAACCAGAAATCGTTTTTTCTAAGCTGAAAAAACAGAGTGATTGCTATCAAATGATGCTGCTACGTACCAATTTCTCATGCCGATTTGATCCGTCTCTAGATAAGCTGATCCTTTGCTCCGACAAGTCTCTCTTACAATGTCTGCTCATTAGATAAGAGATCGGAATGTCAGGGGTGCCGAAATTATCAATCAAAGATACGTAACTGTGATGCGGTATCAATCACCGAGTCGTTAACTCGGCAAAATTGGCGTAGCACTTTGGAAAAACGGTTGAAAACGGTTCTGCATCTAAGTGATAGATGGGTTTGATGTTGCGATAACATAGAGCGTAGAAAGTGCGAAATGAGGATGATAACTGGATATGATACATGTGCAAGCATGTGCTTTCTTTTTTTTTTTAAAGTATATGTGAGGTATGGTGCTGCGGAAGTTCTGCCGAAGTTGGCTTTTGCAGCATCTTGTGGAACTTCGTAAAATTTTATCAATTTCCATTTTCGTGGAAACCTCCTTCGCTTTCCAAAATTTTCAGCAGCAAAATATCTGCGGGACAGCAGAATTTTTAATGATTCTGCGGAAGTCTTGCAGTTGTAGACTTCTGCAGCAATGCTTATGGAATTGTGAAATTTCATTCATTTTCAGTTTTTCCGGGATTCTTTCAGCTCTGATTACAAGAGGAAATGAATCTGCGCGATTATCACATGCTTCTCGATAGCCGTGCGGAAATACAAAACTTTGTAAAGTTATCGATTCTGCCCTCTTACGAAAACCTTTTTGTCCTCAAGAACTAGGATAAAAAAGCAGTAGAATTAATTTGCGGGGCTAGGACAGGTTTTCGATCCTGCGCAAGTTTCGCCGTTTTTGAAAATTTCCGCAGCATTTCTTACGGAGCTTTGCGAAATTTTACTGATTTTGCCTTCATAGAAACCTTTGCGACTTTGGAAAACTAGAACAGTACCTGAAGCGTACTTTCGTCAATATTTCTGCGGAAGTTCCGCTCACCAGCATAAAGTCAATTGAGGTTTTTTTCTTGCCCATTCCTTGCATGACTGTATCCGCCAAGTTTACTCGAGTTTTTTGTCCCCACCTCCCTCTAACTAATCTCCATTTCTTGCGGATTATATTCGGATTTGTTTTCCAGTGTAAGTAGAATCACATCAAACATATTTTTTGACATACAACATGAAGAACTGGTTTGACGATCTAATCGTGGTACCCCGTTCGGAAGTCGTAACCTATGATTACCCCGTCGGTCGGCCGTCATGTACTCATGTGTTACTGGGATTGACTGCATGCATATGTGAATGCGATGAGGCGCGAGTAGAGGGATCTTTACGTTTTTCTGATTGTTGTGTTTGTTGATCAGCTTTTTTGGGACTGCGGGATGAGAAATAGAGAGGGCTTAAGCAAATATTTACAAGGATTAACTTATGGTTTTGACATCGTCATTCTTGATGCGTAAAAAGTTGTAAACAAGTTGTTAAGATTACTAGTACGGGAGCTCAATTCTATAACAGCGGAAATAGCTAGTATAGTAAAAAAACCCTTCAAGCTCAAAATATTGAGGAGGAAGTTACTCAAACTTTCCCATTTCTTGAGGCATTGTCAAGACAAATCTGCATACCTGCATCCAAAATTGTAGCGTAAGAAATATCAGTAATTCGATTTAGCCTGTATTAGTGGAAATAGCTTATTAACAAAAGACCTTTGTGTATGCGAAGTTTGGCCGAGATCTCATAATTTTTTGCTAGCATTCTGGGGTCATAACAAAACTGCTAAACAAAAAAAGTCAATGAATTAAAAGCCACAATAGATTATTTTTGATTAAAGCTTAGTGACATTCATCCGCTCCGAAGCTCATGTATGAGAAGTTCGGGTTCAGACCCCCAATATTTTCAAACAGTTTGGACCGGCAAAATTTTTTAAAGCAAAAACTGCAAGAAATCAATAAGTCGATAGAAGAATCGATATGTTTTGAATCAAATAACTTGTAAGTAAACGGCTCGCATCATTCAAATGCGTTAATGAAATCCCCTTTGTCTGGCTATCTGGTGAAATTGGTTCAAAGTTGCTGATAAGACATATTCCTTTGGAGCCGAATCTCAGTAAAAACAAGAAACGCGAAGCAAATTACGAGGTAGCCTAGGCGGGGCTCGGTATGAGGTGGCTTTTTCAATTTTTCAAAACGAAGTCTCTCTAGACTTCGGCACATAATTACGACATCATCTATGAAGCGATCATAAATGGATAAAAACTAATGACGAAAAATAATGGAGCAAAATATAAAAGCATCATCGAACAGACGAAAAATAACTAAAGATATTCGTATTCTCCGAATTGGCGGCATGCTGTGTCCGGCGCGCACCCTTGCGCGCTTGGAGCAGGCTTGCCGCCGCCATACAAAATATTTGGAGGGCTGTAACTAGCCAGGGAAGAGGTGGTTTAGGAAGATTTAAGAACTCAGTTGTAAAGACGTAGAAAAAGATTATGTACATGTGAGAAAATTATGTGGAGGAAGGAAAATATATGATTTTTTCTTTTTACAGCCACCTCAGGTGGCTGTCCAGGTGGCTGTAAAGCCACCTAACTTCTAAAAAAGTTTGGCGCGACTTTAGTTCACATAACTTTTTCATAATTTTTTGCACATAGTACTATCCCCCATTGCCCATCTACACACCTATTTTGGTGTCATTTCATTTTCACTTCGCTTCAAACTAGCCTTTTGTTTGTTAAGAGACCATGCTGCCGGCATGCCGGCAGCGTGCCGGCAGCAGATCGAAAGACAGCGGTATGTTCTTCCGTAAAAACGATATCTCCTTTGCTTTTACCTCCAAAACGATATCCAGCTTGCCTGGTAAGCCACCTGTGCCGAGCCCTGAGCCTAGGCTTTTTAACTCAGTCCAAAGACGCATGGGTTTTTTTGAACTCCTTCGGGGTTCAAAAAAACCCATGCGTCTTTGGACTGAGTTAAAAATTCTATTGTTCAGGGCGGGAAAAATATGCTGAGCAAAAATCGAAGGAATCAATAAATCTATAGCGACAACCCACGCCCCAGCTCATACATTATGTCTGCCAAATTTGATTCAGATATCATGACTTTTTATTCTTTTGGGCTGAACATACAAAATTCTTGAAGTAAAATTTGCAAAAAATCAATAAATCGATGGAGTCTAACGGTAGACCCCGAAAAATGGCTTACTAACACACACCCCCTCCCAAACATTATGCCTGCCAAATTTGGTTCAGATTTCATGACTCCTTCTATCCTTTTTGGGCGAACATACAAAAAGTGGCCAAGCCAAATATTGCAAAGTATTGATGTTTTGGGAGTTCTAGCTAAGCCATTGCCTAACCGACCGTAAGATTCATTCGTGACAGAGACTAAAAGACTCGACGATCTCGCCCATACCATACCGTTCCGAAAAAGACCATTCAGGTCCTTTCGTTACGGTTGGTTTGTTCGTAAAGGATACGGTCTGGACGAGATATTGGAGAGTTCAGCCACGAATAAAAACTATGAGCTGCTGTTTGGGCAACGACTTTATCAGGGCTTTTAGATTTGTATCTACAGGAAAAGTCCGGTCCATTCTTACAAGGATCAGTGGCAGTATTGTCTTATCCCTTCCGAATATTTATCCCATAGACAGTTTGTAGCTTCAGTGGATTTCAAAAAATCTAAATTTACTTCCTGACAGCTCAAAGCTCCACAAATTCAATGTGCACATGTTTTTTGAACATATTTTAAGTCTATAGGTAACGCTGAACTATATGAAGCCTTAAAATCTTAGCATTTGAATTGCTCACACATTTGTGACAAGCCCCAAAGATAAAGAATCTGATTCATATCAATTCCGAATGATTCAGGTAAACACATTGCTGTCGCGTGAGATGAAAACATTTGTCAAAACCGCTGCGTGTTTTCCACATCGCATCACAGATGATATGAGAGCATCTGTCATGAAGGATTTTAAAATTTCTGAAAAGGTAATCTTCAATTTCTTTTTTTCGTAATGTAAAAATGTATGTCTTGCAGATCCACGTAATGCTGTTGATCACCGAAGCTCGTCTACAAGCGTCACTACTCTATTTCACTCGAGCTCTTACTAATCACTATTCACAAGCAAAGAGAGCCAGTCAGCCAAAGCGTCTAGACTAAGTTGCCACGTGTCGCCGCTTGCCGCCGTATGTCGTCGCTTGTCGCCCGACGTGGTCCCATCACAACCTTCAAGTTGCATACCAAGTTCACAGCCTCATGCGTACTCAAACATCTAATCACAGCACATACCGCAGGCCACGGTCTTTACCCTCCAACTTTTCGTTAGCTGAATCATGCATGTGTCAAAAATTCTACCCCGTCTCCACTATGCGCTTCGCCCCGTCTCCCTCCTGCATCCCCCCCCCCCCCCGATAAACGTGTCTCGTGGCCTTTTGCTTATCTCGTCCCTACCTGGTATTTTCTTACCTTCACCGTGTCCTACCTTATTTGACTTACAATTTTTGTTGTTGATTTTTTTGCCCATACGGTTTACCTAGCTTTTACAGTAAGCACATATATTGGAATCACAAGTTCAATAGTATTAAGTTTGAATCTTGAGTACAATTTGCCGTCTCTGACTCTACCACTGCTATATCGCTGAGTCTCTTATCAGTTCTAACACCTCTTGTACAGTACAATCTATTCGTAGTATTGTTTTAGCCCGCGGTAACTATAATGTCGTTCATCATTTTAGTCCATTTTAGTACAAAAATCACTTTCTGCAGCTGCGGACCTTGGCGTATAGTTTCCAAATAGTCAAATTGTATTGTAGTACCCGCTAGTAATGAAATGGCATTTTCATGCTTGCTAAAGCAAAAAACTGGAAGCATTCCGTCTTTGGGCAGCATTCAGAGTCGCTAGTATGCCGAAGCTGTGCCAGCTCCGTGCCAGCACCGTGTTGAAACCACGTTGACGGTCCTCGCATTAATCGATCAATGCTCCGGCGTGGCGCTAGCACTGCGCTGGAAGTGTGGCATCAACTCTGGACGCAGTCTTAGAGGCGATTATCGATCGTTCGTTTGGTCGCACCGCGTCGTTAGTGCGTTGCGGTTGCTGCTTCGCGTCCACATATTGGCGCATTACTGTTACGCGTCACGCAAACAAAATGTTTAGCGGCTATGCGCATGCTTGTAGTAAAACCTAGTAGTTCTGGTAATTTTTGCATAATCGCCAGAAGTCCGTAACCGCAGAAATGGTACAAAAAACAAACTTAACGGAGAAAATTTAAAAAATAGTCACGCTATTTCAAGCTTCTCATTATGATGAACCGACGGCAATATTACCTCGCAGATCCCCTCATTACAATCCACGGGCTTGATCTACCTTGTATACCTTTTATTTTACACAAACACCCGCTGTGCTTGTCGTAAGCGGCATAATTTAGCAGGCTAGCTTTGTTCGTTTTTTATATGCTAGATTTTTTCTTAAAAGCGCAGTTTTTTCCTAGTCTCTCTACAGTCGTTGCGTAGCGTTTTACAAGTGCAGAAGCTATTAGCTATTTTTCATAATCGGTTCCTGTGTTTATCATGTAGTCGTACTCTTGCGTTTATACCTGCGTCATCAATGCGGGCGACGCACAAGTTGCGCTAAGACTGCGGCACGTCTTTAGCTGTCTGCGTCTCCTCGGTCATATATTCTTTCACCAGTGGACGCCAACCGCGATTAGTCCGTCACAACGCCCTCGTGGATGCAATCTGTGCATTGTTCGCATTGGTGTTATTTTTCTCGCTTAGCGCTGTGTAGAATTTCATTTTTACAAATTCGTTCCTATACGCTTCTTGCGCTATTTCCACCTCTTTATTCTAATCGCTTCAGCGTGATAGCAGCCTGGCAAACAAAGTATGTGTATTGATCGGTCTACTACCTATCCATGAACCCGAATGTCGTGTCGCATCATGTGTAATCCTTCCTCACAAACCCCGTTACCTGATTTTTTTTGCCCGCACAACATCAAACCCCTACCAACAGGCAATCCATTCGAAATGCTTAGCCCTAATTACGGAATAATCTTTTCTTTGATTACGTTTTGATGTGTCCTCAGGGGCGTGTTACTGTTCTTGTGATGCTCTGTTGATATATAGTGTTTGATTATCGTCTTGCTAATGTTGTTAACTCAGACCTTGTTTTTCTTTGATTCTTAGAGTAAACAATTCGCGTTTTTATTTTGCTAAATTGAAAAGCAAATAAAACATGCTTTATGTGAATGTACTTGTGAAATTGTAGCAGAAGAAAAACCAAGAAAGAACAACCCTGCCGCAGTATGCTCCGCGCATTTGCAGAGGCTGCGTTGTTGTTTTCAGACAATCCACCGGAAATTCTGCAAGACAAGAAATTTGCAGCGGTTCTGCTAGTAACGTTAACAACGGGAACTTTCGAAGGACTTGCGACAAATCGCTGCTAAAAATTTGAAAAATGCCAGCGTTCCGCAGCATTTTGACCTGCCGGTACTTCCGCAGGTTTTTGGAAGTGCGCTTACGATGTTATCTCGCCAACAACTAGAGTGCATTAAATATGCCATCTGTAGTGCAGAGGATAGTGAAGTTCCGCCGTCAATAGAGCAAGCTTGGAATCCTGCCTAGATGTTCTCTTTTACTGTTGTGGTTCGTTCCGTAGCACCTCGGAACTTCCGCAGGTGACTTGCCCAAACTTTCCCAAACGTTTTGCGGAGTACTGTTCAGTTGTCTGGATGTATAGGAAAAGTACGGCTTGGCAGTAAGAGTACTTCAGCAGCGAAGCGGCATTGAACCTGTAGGATGTTATTCTAATGTTTCAGCTTCTCCTGAATGGGGAACCTTTACAGTGCAGTGAGCCAAAGTGCCTTTGGCAGGTAACCGCGTGGGCGGAGCTTTGGCCGCATGTAGCGCTGGTGGTTTTTATCTTTATCTTTATTAATGCATGCTTAGAAGTTTGGAACGTTTGTAATTTTTTTTAAGAGGAGAGGGAGGGGAGAGCGGGAAGGGAAGGGGTGGAAGAGAACTGATTACGGGATTTCTGGAATAGCTGGTGATTGTCTTATCGCTTGGCCACGAAGAAAACGACTTTTGAGAACTGCATTTTCCTATAGACTCGCTCAAATGACCTTTTCGGCGCCTTCTCGCGTGAGAGTAAAATTTGGGACGATTTTTTTGCATCGATGCCCTTGGTTGGAAAAAAGTGGTGAAGGCCCTCTTCTGTGGTCCAAAAGCCACGTCCTGCAGCGGGCAATTTTCTAGATTCCGCTCGTCGGATCTGCTCGTGCCTTTGCATCGGACTTGCGTGTTGGTGCCATGCGCTTTGCAAAAGCTGAGAACAAAATGTTGGCTGGTTCCCTCTCCACGAATTTCGTAAACAAACACACACACCACACAGACCACACGCACCACACACACCACAAACACCATAAACACCACACACCACACACACCACAAACACCACACACGCCACACACACCACACACACCACACACACCACAAACACCACACACACCACACACACCACACAACCACACACACCACACACACCACACACACCACACACACCACACACACCACACACATAACACAGGCACACACACCAAACACACACAAAACACACAACACATAACACACACAACACACACACTACACACACTACACACACTACACACACTACGCACACTACACACACTACACACACCACACACACTACACACAACACACACCACACACACCACAAACATCACACACACCACACACACCACACACCACACACACATAACACAGACACACACACACCACACACACACAAAACACAGACACACACACACACCACACACATACACACACACCACACACACATAACACAGACACACACCGCACACACACACACCACACACACACCACACACACACCACACACACCACACACACCACACACACCACACACATACACACACACCACACACACATAACACAGACACACACCGCACACACACACACACCACACACACACCACACACACACCACACACACCACACACACCACACACACCACACACACAACACACACAAAATACGTAGGCACCCTTAGACCATTACTACAAGTTATTTACCGATGCGTTACCTCTGCTTCGCAGAGACTCGCGTGGTCAATATGGAAGCGGTCGGGAAAACTTACGTAGTGATACCGGTTTTCTTCATTTGAGTGATCACTAACTCAAGCGATGCCGAACGAAATTGAACATTTCCTGCTTGGCGACTCCCCCATGGTTCGAAGTATTGTAATTCATTTCGCTGTATTTTCTGAATGGACAAACTCCACGCGGCATAGATTGAGGGCTTACTATAAGGCGTGTGATTTTTGCTGCAATATTGGACCTTTCCGTCTTAGTTGATTCAAAAGATGAAAGCTAATAACTAATTATTGTAGTCTTCAACCAAAACCACGAAGGGAGGATGAGTCCTTTTAGTAGCAAATTAGAATGCAGCGTTAAAAGCACCGTCCACCCTAGTTGAGGGGTCTTGAGCTTTTGGCAGCATATGATAAGGCCCCCTACCAATCGGCCCAAGCCACGACGCCAGATGGCTTTGGAATAGACAATTGCTCCGGAATAACGAAGATGCACGAGGACCCCCAGACGGCACCGCTCTCCCCATCCATGCCCGCCCATTCCTGTGCGCCCATTCAGTCACCGTTCCAGAAAGCCGGCCTGTGGGTTCTCTGGAACGGGGATTGTGGGGTTTTCGCCATTTCTTGATCTCTATTTGGAATCAGGAACATGAGAAGGCCCTGAAACGACAAAAACCTGGAAGTCGAGAGTTTTGTTAGAGGTGTTTTTGAAAGAGGAACTGTTGATCAGCCTATTCATTGGTGGAGGAGGTGGAGGTGCCTGCAGGTATCTGGGAGCTTTAAAATGGAGAGAAAAGGAAAATGTTAAGATTTGTTACTTTTTACGAATTTTTGATTACTGGTTTCAGAGATAAAGGGGATGTGAACTAGGAGGAAAGAGAGCCGGACGGAGCAGAGAGCAGACCTTTGCTGTAGCGCCTAATACAAAATTGGCCTATCACCGGCAAACGATAGTCCTTTTTGGAATAGTTAGGCCTCTACCCAGATACGTATGATTCACCACCGCAGGCAGTTTGAAGAGGAGTAAAAGACCTATCAATAAACAATCACTCAAGCAGAAGAATACACAAGCGACAAGTTAAATTCACAAGAAACCAGTAATCAAAAATCTACAAATATAACAATTCTTGACATTTCCTTGAACCTATACATATCCTTTTTGCATTGTTTGACTGATCAAAACGATCGTTCGGCGAGATTGTACTTGGTCATTGCCACTATTTAGATACAGTTAATAGCTAATTTCTCTCTAAAACCTTGAGAAGAGAACATCATGCGGCTTTATCACACCATCACTTTAGCGAGATATCTTTGCGAATCGTGTCGCAATCACAGCGACCGAGGTGGCAGTCAAATAAAATGAAGCACCTTTGCTCGCCTTTTTTTCTCATAAACGAACAAACATGATTTTAATCTTTTTCCTGAAAAACATTATGATAATAGGTTCATTTAATGTTTGACATAGAAGCCAGGTATAAATTTATATGGGGAATTTTTACTCTTCTGTGCCCCAAAGTGTGGAGACCATCATGGTAAGACGCTACCTGAGAACTGTAAAACTTTCTGCGTTTCAGTCTTTTTGCACACAATCATGCTAAAGCGGTCAGAACCTTGATATCTGCTTTGTTTTGAATAATTTCACTTTCAATGGGTGAAGGCGTGCTTCTCGTTTGCTGGAAATAACGGTCGCCAGAGCAAGTGCTGTGTGTCAAGAATAGGACCAAGAATAGGATCGCGTCATAAATATGGGCGTGCACCATTTAGTGCAGCAGATACAATATGAGCTGCTATACACTGTAAGTCCTCTTTTCTTGTAAGCTGGGCATTTAGTTTATAACTTGAACAATTCTTCTATGTCGTACACGTTTTTATTGGTGACACATTTTATTACTCCCTTACGCTTCGGTTCAACACCGTCTTTGAAGGCCTGGAAACGAGTCAGTCACTTTGATATTACTTTCCTTGCCGCCAAAAACCTCCTCCCACCCGCGCATTCGATTCATTTTGGGTGGAGATCGACAGACTGGGCGTGGAAGTCTACCCACCGAGTGTATCTCCGTGGCAGCGCGTATGCTGCTTCATGACGTGATCGAATGACTTGTCGAATGAGCAGTTGGATCACTATGAGATGGCTCTTGCGCTGTGCGAAATATGAGACTGCCACCCTTACTTAAGCCATCTCACGACAAGTCACTCGAGCACGTCCTGAAGCAACATACGCGCTGCCACGGTGATACACTCGGTGGGTAGACTTCCACGCTCAGTCTCTCAATCTCCACCCGAGATGAATCGAATATGTGGGAGGAGGTTTTTGGCGGCAAAGTAATATCAAAGTGACTGGCTCCTTCCCAGGCCTCTGAAGACGATGTTTAACCGAAACGCAAGGCAGTAATAAAGTGTGCCACCAATAAAAACGTGTACGGCATAAAAGAATTGTTCATGCCATCAATTTCAATTTTTTGTAAAGTGCATGATTACACAATTTTTTAGCACCTGAGGCGCTAAATTTAAACCAAATTACAAGCTGGTCATTCTGATGCCGCTTCTTAGCACGAAACGAGTATTTTGCCTATTCTTCTAGCATGCGTGTTACTTGAAAAAGAATTCACACTAATCAACGATGTCAAGTTTTGCAGCGAGAACATAATTGTGATCAGTGCCGATCTGCATTAATTCAATGCATGACACTCAAAAGACAGGCTCAATATTCATGCAATGATACAAAAGGAAACAGAGCTTGTGCTTGAAACTGCAGACTTCTGGTAACTTAGCAGCCTGTGAAGAAAAGCACTTTCGAACATGAATCTCCTGATCAGTTTTCTGCTGTTTCCGATCTTTCTAACAAGTCTCGTAAAGAGCGAAACCACATTGTTGATCAGATGTTCTCACTCAGGTGTGGCATAGAGTACATAAAAGAGGTAAGAAGTTATCACATTTGTGCCTAGTATATCAACCAGAAATACTAGGTACAGTGATATCAGAAGTGTGATACTATAGGCGAGTGACTCTGCAAACGATGAGCAATTCCGCGAAGTAGGTGCAATTGTCTGTGGAGATGTGCGAAATTTCGCACCTAACGTCTACGTTACTGTATAGACTGAGAAAGAACGA